TGGCAAATGACTTTTACGAAAAACCTACAAAGCTATATGAACCGCCGAGTGGAAGTATTTCAGACTTTCAAGTATGGTTTACTACAGATGGAAGAAAGAGAATAATTCCATTATACCATGCGTTTTACTTAGAACTTAGTTTCATATACAACTACTATCGAACGGTAAAAATATAATTTTTTAATACGGTTGAGGTGTTGGATTTGGTTGCCAACTAGACTGTGGTGCAGGTTCAGGCTGTTGTATAACAGGAGCTTGTTCTTCTGGTTCAGGGTCTTTAGGTATAATACCAACAAACTGACCTACTCTTTTACCAATATTTTTGACACCGTTCCAAATTCCTCTTCCGACAGATTTTATTCCATTCCATATACCTCTTCCAACATTTCGAAAGAAGTTTCCTATTCTTCCAAAGAAACCCATTTTACTATATGTAAAAATCTAATGTCCGCCTAGTCTCTTACGTTTCCTGTTGAGTTCCATTGCATTTTTTAACTGGAGCTCATACATTCTATTTCTCCTCTGGTAGAAAACATATTCCGGGTCAACTCCTGTGTTCGCGTCATCTGCATAGAGTTGTTTATATCCCACTTCAGGGTTTGTATAAAACTCTTTCCATCTCATATTTGCATACCATGGTGGCAAACCTAACGCAGCGTCATTTGACATGGCAGTTTGCATTTGTACATCTGTTGGCACTTGACCATAGTTTGCCATTGCAGTTTGTATTCTAACTTCATTTGGAATATTCTCTGGGTTTGGTTGTCCAGGTTGCTGTGCATTCGCTAAGTTCTGTGCGTCCATTTAATATTAGATAAAAATATCTCTTACGAGTACATATACTGAACATTTGCAGGTATTGGTTCATCTTCATATTCTCTATATCTTTCTGCCACGTCAAATAAGTAAATGACACAATGGAAAAAACCTAAAACAAGTAGTCCTATTTCAAACCACATTTACTTACCAATAAAATTTCTTTGTTGTGACACTTTCTCCGGTTTATAGGACCTCTCTCATATTCTATCTTGTCATATCTAAACTCATAGTCATGTATGTCCCCTAACCATCTCATAACGGTTTCCAAACCACTTTTATCGGATGTAAAGTAAAAGCATGGATGGTTATGTAAAACGTCTAAAGTTTCTAAAGAGTCTCTCAAAGTCCAGTCTACTTGGTATTGAAAATCCCATGTGTTATAGAACGGCGGGTCCACTATAAAGAAAACATTTTCCTTGTCTTTATATTTTTCATACAACTCTGTCCAATGACATCTCACAAACTCTATACCCTCAGTATATTTTTCTATGTTCTCTTTGAAAACATTTTTATAGTTAAGATATAAAACTTTTGACATAAGTGTTTCAATGTCATGAACTCTTATAGAACCACTATATAATAGTCTAGCAGATATACTATCCCAGTCTATATATTCTGCTTTTTTCAAAACCTCTCTTACAATATTTTTCTTATCTAATGGTATACGTTCCATCTTACCTATAGGTATCTTTTCTTTTAACTCTTTCAATATTTTGTTAGTGTCTGGTATATGTTTGAGACGGTTCATATAGTTGTCGAAGTCATTGCATATAATCTTTGAGTTTGGGAATACGGTATGGCACAGATGAGATATATAGAAACTTCCACCGAACAAATCTACAAATGTTAGACCATTCGGTAGTTTCTTAAGTTCTCTCAATAGAATATCTTTACATCTACTCTTATTTCCAAAGAAGGGTAGTGGTGGTTTTGTAAAATTCATTTTATATATATAATAAAAATGTTTTTTCCTGAAAAGTGACAAAACATGAAAACTACTCGGTTAAGTTCTTGTCAGTTTTGTAAAATAACCGTCCTATCTTGTTTTAAAATGGAGAAAAGGCTTCTCAAAGTATACTTCCTTGGAACACACGTAACTTTTCTGTAGCGACGATAGACCCTTACTTGTCCGGTTTATAGTTATACTATTTTGAGTTCTCTACAAAAATTTTAGGGGCTAGAAGGCACGAAGTGCCTGGAAGGCCCCCCTTACAAAAAAACCTCATTTTATACTAAACTCATTTTATACTAACATCTTCGGGGCTAGAGGGCACGAAGTGCCTGGAGGCCCCACTACCTTTTTTTTTTTTTTTTTTTTTTTTTTTTTTAATAATACATATTATTATATAATTAACATATTCATAATGTTTCACCCTTTCAAAAATATAATCCTCCTCCTCTCAAATAAACGTACATACGGGTGGCCTCTTTTTTCAAAAAATTAAAATTTGAAATTTTGGGCTCAAATATTAGAGATTTTTTCAACCTTCAACGATATATGTTGTCTATATCAGACCTCCTTTCTTTTTGATACTTAACATTGTTCCTAAATCTTAGCCGTTAAGGCTGTTCTGAAATATTTTTTTTTCGAAAAAATTCGAAAAAAATTCTCAAAATTCAAAAATCCCTTAATTCCTGAGGATTTTGGGAAAAAGTTTTTACACGAACATGTGTATATTATATGAAGTATATTGATAAGGTAAAAATCAAATTTTATTGCATATTCATCGAGAAAATAAACTAATAGGGTTGTTAGATTCCCGACGATAGGTGTCTTGGAAGATTTGCCTGGTGTCATCATAGTGTCTTTAAATCAAAAATTTTATTTTGGAGTTAGTTTTATTGATTTTTCAATAAAAAACATTTCTAAAACAAGAAAATAAAACGATAAAATATTTATATTTTATATAAGGATCTTATATATTTAAAATAAATATCATTTTATTTTTTTCATTGGTGTCTGTCAAACCATAATACACTATTCAAAAATTCAATGTGTCTTGCGGTTTCAAAAGACACCTTCAAATTGAACGATAGCACAGACACTATTGAATTTTACCCATTGTATTTAGTTTTTACCCTTTTTATTTTTAAGAATTAATGACTGAAACAGCCGTTTTGCTATGACCTCAATCACTTTTATTAAGGGTTTCGTTTTGCGAAAAAAACGTACAATACGCAATTTCGCTAAAAAAACATTTAGCTAGCAATTTCGACCTTTGACTCCACTCAAGACGTCACTTTTTTATTTTGCGGTATCATATTTTTGGAAAATCTTTATGAATATTATATAAAAAGTCTCTTTAATATCTATATTTCATTTTTATCGATTTTTAAAGTTTTTGCGAAAAGTATTCAATTATTTTTGCTATTTTGTCGGGTAAATGTCAGATTTGCGACATTTTCTGATATGATATTCAGATTCTACGTTGATAATAATGCTTATAGAACCCTCTTGCTATTGTGTCAAAAGTGCGAAACCGATAGCAAAAATATCTCGCAATATCAAAATTGAGATATTGAGTGAATTATGCATTATAGAGATTAAAAATCTGATTTGTGAAAACATCTCATCAGTTTCTAGCTAATTCAAAAATCTTTACTATCTTATTCGATTAAAATGAAAAGGGAATAGTTTCATTATGCTTTAAATGACAGCCTTATAATATAATCATTTTTCGCTCAATATGCAGCATTTTTTTTCGAATCTATGGTCAATGTCCTAAATACTGATTGCTTTGCATTCATATCTCTTACATTTTCTATACCCACATCACTATTCATTGCTATTCCTATCTTTTTCATTTTTGTTTGTTTCTCATAATTTCTCAAAAAACACGATAACTTGATATTTGTAAATATCATACTTTATAACGTAAATAAGAACTTGACCTATTAAGAAAAGCAGTAATGAAAAGAAAATCTGAAATTCATAAAAATTACAAGTTTCTGATGACAATTAGCTTAATTAAACCAGGTACAAGATTATATAATTGTATTTTCTATCCAATTATCCATATAATATCTTATCCAGAAAAAATAACTTGATCAATACCAAATGATTTTTTAACTAGTAAATAAAGATTTTTTTTACACACACATTGTATATCATAGTTTTTTTTTTTGGTTTCGCAAAACATCCAAAAACAAATATGCTATAAAAGTGACAATTTTAGCAAAACGAAACCCTTACTTTTATTTATTATTTTAAATATTATTTAATTTATTATTTGAATAGGCCAACTTATATTTGAGAAGCTCAATTTGAGACCACTTAAAAACATTGAAATATCAAATATTGAAATATTAAAAAGTGTATTTCAAATATTGAAATTATAAAAATTTATAATACTGAAATTGAGACAAATTAATAAATTCAATGCGTTTTTTTTGAAATAACTCTCAAATATTATTTTTTTGTTTATTTAATGATGAATAAATATGATTGCTTTAGTCAATCATAAAAACTAATTTAAGTTTAAAATAATGAAAGGATAATTTGATCGTTTTTTAAAATACAATTATTTTTTTTGATTTGCAAGAATCTTTGAAAAGAATATAATATAGGTTCTATTTTTGTAAAATTTATCCAAATCATGTATTACATAAATTACGATTAAAACAATGAAAGAACCAAAAAGTGTGTTTTGTGTTTTGTTGTTGCGTGTTGGATGCGGGATCCTGTTATTTCCGAAATCGACAAAAAATTTGGAAATTTAATTTCCGAAATCGAAATTATATTAATGTTTTTAATATTCTTATATCAAAAGGATTAAAGTTCATTAAGAGAAAAACAATTCTTCTTCTTCAATCTATTGGCGCATTGATTTCTACACGCCAATAAGGAAGGGAAAATTATAAGACACCATGGTGTCTTCAAAACGCTAATTTTTGATATTTTTAACAACCCTATAAACTAACGAATCCCTCAAAATTGAGAGGGTAATCCTCCTCCTCTCAAATAAACGTACATACGGGTGCACCCTTAAAATTTAATTCATCAGAACTAAAATTATTTTGTGTTGAAAAGACAAAAAAATATTTATTATAACATTATAATTTAAATTATATAACATTTCTTAAGAAAAAACATCATTTGATAAGTTTAAAAATTCAACAGATCATGTTTATAAACAAATACAAACAAAATATAAAACATGAAAAGAAAAATAAAATAATCTCTAGTGCTCAGGACTAAAAGAAAAGTTTCTTCTGAACATAATTGTCTCAGGTGGGAAAGCGTTATTGATATTTTCGAGTTTTGAGAAGATATCCATGTTCATGTCGTGTTCACCAGCTTTTTTCGCAATTTTTATCCAGGAAGAGTGGTAATACTCATTTGCATCAACACTTATCTTCGTCTGCTGCATCATGCAGTTTCTGACGACTTTCGGACAGAATTCGCTCAAAATCTTCAAAGCGGCAGAGGCGCTGTTCTGAACTGATGCAGACCAGTGAGTGTAGTAAGTGTTGATCAACGAATTAATGATCAACGGTATCAAAGAGTAGTTATCTGACTGGATATTCGACAAAAGCTTCTGTCTATCCCAAATAATCAGGCATTGCTCAGCAACATCGGAGTTCGGACTCGAAACAGCATCATTAAAGATCTGAGAGAGCTTCGAAACGGTCTGTTTGAATTGATCGGGAGGAAGAAGCTCACAAATGTCAATAATGATGCGGACTGCACACGCTTGCTTCTCAATGTTAGTTTTCGGCCAGAATTTCACAATTTTGTCGAAAATTTGGAAACCAGAATTTTGATTATTCGACAAAACAACGCTGGCGACTTTCTGGAACTGGTTTGAGAAGAACTTGAGGTGAGGCGCTGATAAAAGTGGAGCAATGTAAACTAAAAAGTCTTGGGAAGTGATTTTCAATTCGGAAAAGTGCCTGGCGATAAGAGTAAGGGCTGGAGCAATTGAAAATGGATATCTATGAAGATCGTAATACTCAACAAGAGTTTTAAGTAATTCGCTTCTGATAAATTTTCTTGTATAAGCGAATTCTGTAATACAAACAGATAGAAATGATGTAATTTGATCTTGCTCAACTGTAAGCGGAGTGTAAAGACGTGAAACAATTCTGTTAATGAAAATAGAGTCAATTGTTGGAATTTGAGGTAAAATTCTAATCAATATCAAATAGCAAAGCTTGATATGTTCCCATGATAAGTCCGTTGCGGAAAAATCCGTGGAAATATTTTCATAAAGAGCTGGATAAGGTGGTATTTTTCTAAATATGTTTGTTGAAACCATTTCAAATAGATCAACAACATATTTCATGTTGCAAATATGGTTCATCGAAAATTCTGCGAACTCCCTAAGAGTGTGGAGCTTAATAATTTTAGCATTTTTTTCGAAATCTTAGATCATGTAGTCACATAGTTTGCTGCATATATTTATTTTGTCTACAAAGATCTTGGCGAAGTTTGATTCGTTGATTGATGGAAGCTTCGGTAAAGTAGGAAATGCATATTCTTCACGGATAATATGATAAGGAAAGCAAAGATTAAGGATAACTGGAGTAACATCATCTGGGAAATGCCTCTTTTGTCCTATATTGTAAACTTTGGGACACGAAATTACTTTATTACAACTCTTCCTTCTAAAGGGACTTACTTCAAGAGCAGGAAGATGACTTTTACCTTCACTTAGTGTTGAAAAATAGGCAGTTGAACTTTGGCTTCGAGTCCTACGCATAGTTGGGGTGAGAGGTTTCATCATTCAAAGAATTTTTTTTTCAGTGTCATTAAAACTCATAAATAGGAAAATATTAATTCTTTTTTACCGCTTATTGATAGATACGATTAGATTTTTTTGTTGGTCAATTCAAATGAAGAATTGATTTAGAATATTTGATTGCTGCAATTTTTGATATTAATCGATGGAGTATTATTAATAGTAAATGTAAACATTTGAAATCAATTACAGAATTTTACAGCATAGAATAAATATAAACGAATATTATATTGATTCAAATATATAAAAAACTTATTAATTGAATTTTTCTTTGTGAGCAAATTGTAAAGCACTTAAATTGAAACAGATATTTCTGAAGCTATTGTTTTGTAAAGTTAAATATAGTTTATCTTGCAATACTTGGCATGATTCTGATTAAATTCAATTTAGTTAATTGCTTGAAATTTTTTATGCTTCATTTTGAAGTCACCATTGTATCCATTAACTTTTTTTCTTTTTAAATCTATCTTAAATTCGAATTTCAGATTGCGTCAAATTATTGAGCACAAGTTAATCCCATTTTATTAACATTCATATTATATTTTTAAAGTTAATTCAAGAAATCCTAAAATCTTTTCATTTAAACGATCCTTTGATCCATAATTTAATTTTTCGGTCTAATCAGACTCATGGATATTATTAATACAATTCCATGGCGATGTAACATATTGATATAGTAATAAATTTGTATAAATTCTAAACTTTGTAAAAAATACATTTATATATACCGATATTTCATAACTTATTGCATTATTTTAGATTGTGTCAGTAAACAATTTTCCAATAATATTAAATGAATCTATGTTTTAAGATCATTCACTGTTTTTTGCCCGTATTATTATTTTGCTCTGCATCATTTCCAAAAGATAATAATTTTGCACACATATTAAAAAAAAAAAAAAAAAAAAAAAAAAAGGTAGTGGGGCTTCCAGGCACTTCGTGCCCTCTAGCCCCGAAGATGTTTAGTATAAATGAAGTCTTGACAAAACATTTACGAAGAAATCTCAACAAAGTCTTTACGAAGAAGTCTTGACAAAGTCTTTACGAAGAAGTCTTAACAAAACATTTACGAAGAAGTCTTAACAAAACATTTACGAAGAAGTCTTGACAAAGTCTTTACGAAGAAGTCTGACAAAGTCTTTACGAAGAAGTCTTGACAAAGTCTTTATGAAGAAGTCTTGACAGTCTTATGAAGAAGTCTTGACAAAGTCTTTATGAAGAAGTCTTGACAAAGTCTTTACGATGAAGTCTTGACAAAACATTTACGAAGAAATCTCAACAAAGTCTTTACGAAGAAGTCTTGACAAAGTCTTTACGAAGAAGTCTTAACAAAACATTTACGAAGAAGTCTTAACAAAACATTTACGAAGAAGTCTTGACAAAGTCTTTACGATGAAGTCTTGACAAAACATTTACGAAGAAATCTCAACAAAGTCTTTACGAAGAAGTCTTGACAAAGTCTTTACGAAGAAGTCTTAACAAAACATTTACGAAGAAGTCTTAACAAACATTTACGAAGAAGTCTTGACAAAGTCTTTACGAAGAAGTCTTGACAAGTCTTTACGAAGAAGTCTTGACAAAATCTTTACGAAGAAGTCTTGACAAAGTCTTTATGAAGAAGTCTTGACAAAGTCTTTATGAAAAGTCTGACAAAGTCTTTATGAAGAAGTCTTGACAAAGTCTTTACGATGAAGTCTGACAAAGTCTTTACGAAGAAATCTCAACAAAGTCTTTACGAAGAAATCTTAACAAAACATAGACAAGAAAGTTCATGAGTGTAAATGACCCAAAAATATATTTTAGGGTAGAAGGGTATATCTACCCCGTTTTCTACCCTCTTTTCTACCCTCTTGAATTTTCATGAAATTTACACCAAAAATATATTTTAGGGTAGAAGGGTATATCTACCCCGTTTTCTACCCTCTTTTCTACCCTCTTGAATTTTCATGAAATTTACACCAAAAATATACTACTAGGGTCATTTACGAAGAAATCTTAACAAAGTCTTTACGATGAAATCTCAACAAAGTCTTTACGAAGAAGTCTCAACAAAGTCTTTACGAAGAAATCTTGACAAAGTCTTTACGAAGAAGTCTTAACAAAGTCTTTACGAAGAAATTCATGAAAATTCAAGAGGGTAGAAATGAGGGTAGAAAACGGGGTAGATATACCCTTCTACCCTAAAATATATTTTTGGGTCATTTACACTCATTTACGAAGAAGTCTCAACAAAGTCTTTACGAAGAAGTCACAACAAAACATCTGTCAAAAACCGCTTTTTAACTTCACTTAAAATGCCACGTAAGCTACGTAAGAATATACGTAAGAGGAAGAGAGCATTGAAACATCCAATAGTAAAACTGACACCACAACAACAGTTGCAACAACAAATGCTGAATGACCCCACTATGTTGCAACAAATGTCAAGCAATCCTATGCTTTTAAACCGAGTTGTTGGTGCACAGAGTGGAGGTTTAAGAGCGGCACTTTTAGCGAAAATGGCAGGCTATGGTGGAGCTGCAGACGGAACAGCCTATAACCCTCAAAGTCAAATGAATTTGAGTTCACTCAAAAATCAAATAACAGATGTCAAAAAGTCAAACATAGACATACAGAAGCAAATAAGTGAAAACGAAAAGAAACTAGAATATGACAGACACACAAAGAAACTCAATGAGTTAAACGTAGAGAAAAAGAAGAAAGAAGAACAACTGAAAGAACTAAGTACAGAGGAATATGCGAAAAAAGTGTCAGAAAAAGCAGCAGAAGTAGCAAAAATGGAACAAGATGTTGTAAATTTGAAAAACCATACTACTCGATATAAAGTACTGAAAGATGAAGAGATAAAACAAAAAGCCCTGAAGACATATATGGATAGCGATGAGTATAAAAAAGAAGTTGAAGCAAATGTAAAGGCAGAAAAACTTTTACAGTTGCAAAACCAAACCGTACAGTATGAAAACTTAGCACAAGAAAGTAAAAATAACGACGCAGCCATGCAAAAGGCAATGAAAAGCGCAGAATATATAAAAGCTAACAATGACTGGTTAGATGCCCAAGCCAACGCTAAAGCAGCCCAGCTTATAGGGTCAATAAGGACAAAAATACAAGCGGATGAAGATAGTTCAAATGAAGCTTTAACAAATGCTGACTTTAAGAACGCCTTCGAAGCTCTTCATAGTAAGGTGAAACAAGTGAACGACTTCTCATCTGGAAAGAAACTGAAGTCTGAAGGTTTCGACAACGAGTTAAGAGAAGTAGCACAAAATATGACGAAAATAACAGATGCAGCAACGAGACAGGCAGTTCAAAGTGCCTATGACGCCGTTAGAGCAACTGTTGTGAAAAGTCAAGAAAAAGAGTTACAACAGACCAAAACAGACCTAGTAAATGCTTTCTTAAAAACGAAAAGTCAGGTAGGACATTACGCTGCAGATGGAACATATGTGCCAGCTGGTGGAACTTATATACCACCAAACCCTCCAAGAGAAGCACCTGCACCAGGACTACCTAAAACATTTACATCGTCACATGGACACAGACACAGGCATGCACCAAAACCAACACAACAACCAACACAACAACCAACAGTTCAAAACACTGCACCACAACCAACAGTTCAAAACACTGCACCACAACCAACAGTTCAAAACACTGCACCACAACAACCACAAACAGAGCAAGGACATAAAAGAAGTAGAGAACAAGGAAACCAAGAATTCTTAAAAATGCTTAAAGAAGAGTGTGGTTTCCCAGATACTGTTGACTTTAGTGACAGATATAAAGAAGCTATTAGAAAGTTCAAGGAAGGAAATACTGACCCGAACCTATTTAGCTTTATGGCTCAGCACCAAAACGGATATAATCTCAAACCTGGAAAATACAAGCTCGCTAAGGGATATGATTTAATAGCATATCATCCAAATGACATGGATGAATTTACTCCGAGATATTTGATGTCAGAGCTAAATGACAATTCAACTTTCGTCATGAAACGCGTAAAAAATAGAGACGGAACGAAAGAACAAAAGCTTATGAATGCGGATGACGTAGATAGGGAAATTGTTAAAAATGGTCTCGGAATATATGAAATGCCAGCAGATGAGGTACAAGAAACTCCACAGGAAGAAGTTCAGATACAACCAGACATGGAAGAAATAGTTCAGCAACAACAGCTAGAAGAGCCTGAAGGAAACGAACAAGTCCTTCCTTTGGAAACTAACTTCACAGAACTAGATGAAGATTTGGAACAGCCGAAAATCTTGACCCTCAACAAGAGCATGAGGTGAATATGGAATCTTTCCAAGAGTCAAAAAAAAATTCGGCTGACATAGTAGAAGAATATCGAAAAATGTTTGCCGACATACAAAAGACTCCAACATTCAGATGAAAATATCCAGCATAGAATGGAAGAACTGAAAAAAAATGTACACAAATACAACAACCCTTTTTACTTACGAGCATTTAACGTTCAATCTTCGGATGAACTCGGTGAAAATAAAAGGTTAAATTTCAAGAAAACATATAGAAATGAAACATTGTTTAAAGTTCATTCAGAACCTAACCAAGATGGAAACAAACCTACTTTTGTTTCTGCAGACGATGGAACTACAATGAGATGGGGTCATAAAGCTAATCCAGATAGGTGGTTCATAAACTTACAACCACAATTCCAAGAAGTTGTAGACGCAATGGAAGTCAATGGTGAACAAGATATAGCTGGTATTTTAAGCGCGGCTTTAATGCCATTGAAAGATATGAAACATGCAGATATTTTGGACCAGTATGAAATGAACATGGCTGATGGAAATATAACACCTGACGTTCTAGAACATTTATCTCAAAGAACTACACAGAACCATAGAGATGGTATATTTGGTGAAGAGTTTAGAAAGAGAGTTAGGGAGAGAGAAGGAAGAGAACCTATTGTACATGACCTTGCAAACGAAAGTTTACAAAATGTCATAAAAACTTACTTTGCATACGATGAACTGAGAAGGGATGAATATTTAAGAAAACTCAAATGGACAGTACCAAATGAAATGTTAGTATTGAAAAACATGTTCCTTGACAAAATAAAACCAACTACAGAAATAAACGACGCAAGACTGAAAGATTGGGTAAAAGCTTTCCCATTCACAAAAGATATTATTGGTAACATGGAAAGAAAACCAGAATGGCTACAAAAACATATATTTGGAAACGAGCTTATTCCATATGGACAAGCTCTGTTTGAAGAGCTTGAACCAGAAACTCAGGAAAGAGTCATGCAAACAATACGCGAAGACTCAAATACAGACTATGACAAACTCTTTCTAGGATATAGGTTACCTGAGATGGGCGACCAGAGCCAAAAGGCAAAAAGGACATGGGAAATTTGCAACATACTAGATGAACATAATGCAAAGATGCAACAACTTCAAGCAGAGGGCAATGAAGGAAAAAGAAGAGTTAAAAACTCAGTCAGGAAGAAAGTAAAGCTTGGTCCACGTGGGTTCTATTATGACATATAAATCCAACTATTCTATATTTTTACTCATATGAAATGTACGCCGCTCAGAATATAACGCCAACAGTTTTGGATGCTATGAATGGAAATGTTCCGAATGGTATAACGAATGCGACAATGCCATTAGAAGGTCAGAAATAGTTTCCTGGAACTTACGAATATACAACTGCTGTTTCTTATGGAAATGTAGGTGAGTTTGGAGAAGGTTCTTCAACAACAGTAGATATTGCTTGCGACAGGTTTCATATTATTTCTATTGACAACTCATTCTTATACGTGGAACAAGACATTGAAATAAAACCTTCTGCCAAGTTGTCTGACAAGAAAGGTTGCAATGGAATTTTCTATGTCGGATACCAATATGCTCCAGAAGTTTTCATGGGATATAAGATATATTCTAACTCTGACTTAGTTCAAACAGTAACATGGGCAAACTATGAATGGTTCGCTTTGAGAAACTCAGTACAACCACAAGCTAGAGAACAAACAGACCAGTATGCAACTATTGAGAAAATAAGAAGACTTGACCCTAACGTTCCAGGAGTTTATGTTGACCTTTCTGGACAAACTGCAGCAGCAGTAACCAAAGTAAAACTGAAACTTAGAGTTCCTTTGTCATCTTTCCTCATCTTCAGGTTTTTAAGATACTTGCCAAACTGGGCAGGAAAAATTTCTATCGAACTTACTCCAAGCAAAAATAACTTAGTCATTGCACCAACACAAGACCCATTCACTCTTACAGAAGTAGTGGGAACAAATAAAATGTCATTCGCCGACTTTTGCAAAAACAAAGTTGACTTAGACTTTGGTTTCTCAAACCTCAACACTGAAGTAAACTATTATTTCAATGCTGCTGGAGATGCTTGGGACCAGTTAAGTTCACATGCGAAAAGTTTGAATGCAAGAGAATAGAAAGCAGACTTGCAGTCTATATGTTGGACCCAGATATTTCAAATGCTTTAGCTGCCAAATATATTGCAGTTCCACTTATGTTCCCTATACACCAAATATCTGTCAAAGACTTTGCAGGTGAAGTTGGAAACCAAAGTGCTGACCCAGGTGCAAGAACAGATATTGCTTTAACAACTGCAATGAAACATGCAGATACTATGTTTGTACTGTTCAGACGAACTATAAATGACTATTCTTGCTTCTACAACCCTGGTATTAAATACCATATAAACATAGATGGCAAATACTATCCAAGAGAAGAATATTCTACAGTTGAGGATATGAGGTCATACAACTTGACATTAGATGCTATGAACTTTAACAACAACTTCACAACAACCATTAACCCTGAAATGCAAAGTTCTATTATGCCATATGTGAAAGTATGGACTCATACAGGAGGTCAAAAAAACTCAATATACAAATGGAGACCGTTCAAACTTTTGGCTTGGCATTCCATTTGCTGACTCAGAAGACTTTATGGTGGTATTTCAACTGTTGGTACAGTTCAAATACAATATACTGGTGACAGAGACGGTCCAGATGAATTGAAAGCAAAGAAGTTTACAAAACCAATAGCACTTTTCACGGAAGATGCTCTTTTGAAAATTCGTTCGATGAAACCTGCTGGGGCTCCTCAGATTGGCATAACGACAGCTTCCATCGAGCAGATTTTGGCAGCAGGTCAGTAAGTTGTTCTTGAACTGACTTCTCTCCGTCAAATATTGACAGTACGCCAGTTTTGATATAATATTGTATTATAAACTTACCTTTAGAAATATCGGTCAGTTTTGTTGTTATATTTTTGTCTGCTTCAAGAACTTTCACCATCTCGGTTATACCAACTTTCTTTGCTTTATGAAAATATTTTGGTTCAGCAAAGACTGCTATTCTATAACATTTTCCATTGTTTGTATAAAGAACTATTCTGTCAATGAACTTGTATTGTTTGTGTGTGTAAACTTTGTTTTGCTTCAATTCGAAGAGATACTCAAATACGTCCATCTTTTTATTCTAAGTAAAATGTCATTTCCGAAAATAGAAGCGTAAGTGTTTCAAAAGGTTTAATGGCGTGGCAGATGTGAAGTTAAATTCACCAACTCAAACAAACAGTCAAAGTGTTGTTGTCAATGTCAAAGAAAGAGATGTTGAAGTGGGGAAACCATACGAAGACGAAGATGGTATAACAATAGTTCCTGTAAAAGAACAACCAACATACCCTGAAGTTAGCAGAGACTTAAGTTCTGTTGCAGATATTCGAAACGACTACCAACAACTTAAAGACAAACTTAAAACTCAGGAGAAGATTTGTCAGGCTTTGGGTATAATGTTAAACTTGGTTGAGACAACCCTGTAAAAGTGAACTCATATGTCATCGCACCTCATGAAATTTTGAAAGAACTATTGAAACTTTTGACAGAGGCAGACGATATAAACATCAAAGAAATAGAACCCGACATTGCTTGCTGTGGTGTTTCATACAATGTCATTGACAAGATATACGTTATGAAAGGAGGTGAAACGTTGAACTTAAAATATAGTTTCCCAGACGTCATAAAAATATTTGACGACCACAACATTTCATTAAAATTTACTTGCTAAGTAAAAATGGCAGAAGACATAGTGGTTTATACTATTACGACTAAAACCCTGAGTCATATAATTCTATAACAACAAACTTACAAAGTCCTCAAGGACGATATTGTAAACTGACCTTAAACACGATGACGACTAAAGCCTGTTTTGCTCTTTTGACACCAGAAGACTTTGTTGTTGTGAATGGTAAAAAATACTTCTTTGAAGATACTTACTCAGATATACCACCAACAGGTTTTGTTGACTTATTTAATACTTTAAGGACGGATGTAACATGTGCTGCAACTAGAGCAGGTTTCATTATGTTTGGATGTCCGACTGAGTTTAGTATAAACGATATGAGCTATAATACAAAACTTATATCTGGTTTTTACTACCAACAATTTCCTATAACAGGAAAAGGTGTCATACAAGGTCTATCTACCATTGACTTTAAGTACACCTATTTTATATATTGTTTCAAACTTAGGTTCAAAGTGCTATTCGAATGTCGACAGAAACTACTATGACCAAAAGATACTCATGCGTATAAACAACACATTCTCTGCTGGTTTGCCTATTGTTCATTCGAATGCAGAGTTTTCAACCTTAGTAAACTCAAACACTTTAGCAAACATAACGTTGACATTAGTCGACGCAAACTTTGTTCCTGTAAAACTTTTATGTCCTATGTATTTGTCAATGACGGCAGAAAGTTTCGAATTGGAAGATGCAACTGGTGAAAGTATTGTATTACAAGAACAACTTCAACAACAAATAGCTCAAGAACAACAAATAGCTCAAGAATAACAAATGCAACAAATGGAACAACAAAGTCAAGAATAAAAAAAATATTTTTTTTTATTTTTATAAAAATGTACAGAATAGACGTTTCAGATTTTTATGACTTCCAAGCGTTCAGAAATATGTGTCCATTTAGAGACTATAACAAAGCAGTCGAGAATTTGAAACGTTTAGTCATTTATGTCGACTCTGCCCCAGAATGTTATGTTATGAAAGAATGGGATGTTGTCTTTAACAAACCAAGAGCAACCATAGTTTCAGAACAAGAATGTAGACAGAAACTTAAGAAAATAAAAGTTGTACAAGTTGGCATGAAGATGTTAGATGCTTGGGATATCTTATTGTCAAAGTTAGAAGATTTTTCAGTTCGAGGTATAAAGTTCTATACACCATCTCCAAACTTCTATTCTATCTTCACTGGATATAAATACGAACAAGTAGAATGGAAAGAAAATGTTATAGAAGCTTGGTTAGACCATGTCAAAGAAATTATATGCAATGGAAACGAAAGAGTCTATGAGTATATCTTATGTTGGTTTGCAAACATCTTACAATATCCAAGTGCTAAAAATGAAACTGCTCTCATTATAATTGGAAAACAAGGAACTGGTAAGAACACTTTCTTTACAGATATCTTATGCAAACTGTTAGAGGGCTATTCGAACCCTAATATGACAAACTTAGAAAACATCTGCGGTAAATTTAACTCTTCAATAGAGAATATGAAACTTATAGTATGTAACGAACTTCAAAGTATAGATACAACAAAGGTTTTAAACTCAGATGCTTTGAAGAGTCTTATAACAGACAAAGTTGGAGTTGTTGAAAGAAAATATAAAGACCAAAGAGTTTGTGAAAATGTTGCAAATTTCATCATGGTTTCAAACAACGCCGTTCCGATGAAGTTAGAAAGTTCTGACAGAAGATATGTAGTTGTCAGAACGTCAGAAGCTCATATGCAAGATACAGAATATTTTGACGACTTAGCAGAAACTTTGACACCTAACTTTTACAACCACTTGTTCTCATATTTCATGACATTAGATATTTCAAAGTTCAATCCAAGACAAATTCCACATACCGAAGAAAGACAAACATTGTTAGAAGCAAACAAGAGTGTATATGAACTGTTTATAGATGAGACTAACTTTGAGTGTTTAGATGAAAGGTCATTGTACGACTCGTATAAACAGTATTGTCAAGAGTATGGTTATATGGCAGCTTCTAAACGTACATTCTTGGCAAATGTCAAAAGTCTTTTAGATGTTCAGAACGGCGTATATACAAAGAAAAATTTTTCTGAGTAAATTTTAAAAAAATATTTTTTTATTTTATTTGAAATGTACGCTGAGTTTGTTGGAAAAGACTGTTGGAAAACTTGTTTGTTAGATGAGAAATATGAAATTCACTGTTGTGAGTCATTTGAAGTCAGAAACAAAAAGACAAAAAGAGTTTTAAGCGAATGGGAGCGAAATGACGGATATGCTGATATGAAGATGGGTGGAAAACACTATCTTAAACATGTTGTCATTGCAACTCATTTTATACTGAATCCTAACAATTTACCTTTTGTAGACCATATAAACCGTATAAGAAACGACAATAGACTTGAAAAACTTACGTTGGGTCACTGTTCTGAAAACAATAAGAACAAAAGCAAATTTGGAGATATAGTATTCGAATTTGTCGACGAACTAGAAGATGAAGCAATTGAAATTACAGACTATGGCAAGCATACGTTTGAGTTTTACTACTACAGCGAAGAACAGGACTCTTCTACTTTTATACCGGCGTAAACTATAGAAAATTACAAGTATGTTTTACTAAGGCAGACTATGCTTATGTATACGCTAGAGATACAGATGGAAAATACGTTAGACTATTTCTTAACAAATTCAAGAAGCTATATGGCATACCATTTTTAAAACGTTTTTTAAAAAAAAATATTTTTTTATCCGATAGAAAAGATGACGAAATATATTCAGTCAACAAGTACATGACAGAAGTCAAAGATAAGTTAGCTCCATTCACATATTTGAATGTTTACTTCTACCATTTTGAAAAGTCTACATTTGACAAAGTTTGGAACATCGAACCAGTTAAGTTTGCTATTGTGACTAAAAATGGTGCGAAATTTAAGACTTAGACATAGAAGGTTTGTTAGCAGTCAAAGAAAATTTTGACAGAAGGTTTTCAAAACCTTAAAGAAGGCAAAGCATACAAACTTGTTATACCTTATGAACCAAAGAAAGCAGACGACTATGAATATTATGAGTCTAAAGTTGTAGAAGTTCAAGGTAAATTGGGTAAAAAGATTTTAGAGTCTAAGCCAGTGTTTGCTCCTAAAGAGGAAGAGAACATTGACATTGACCCAGAAATGTTCTAAAAATAAAATTTTATTTTTACATGTCAAATTTCTTTTTCTCTGGCTCTGGCTCTGGCTCTTTCTTCTCTTCTTCTACTTTCTTTTCTTTCTTCTCTCTTCTTCTCTTCTCTCTGGTGGAGTTATGTCAAACTTCTCAGAACCATATTTCTGTAAAAGTTCTTTGTCCTTTAATAGCTCTTCTATTCTGTTTCCTATTTCATCTTCAAGAACAGCGCATGTGTCTTCTTTGCATTCTAAGAACTTTTGTTGGACTTCATCTTTCCAATCGGCGTCATCTCTGTCAACAAGTCTGTCATTGACAAACTTAAAGACTTCTCTGCTAATGTTTTATGGTTTTGTCATATTCCCAGAAACAGAACTTTAGAACAAATTCACCTTTCTTGTTTACACTATGTAAGATTTTATGGTCGACAGATGTTTTGCTGTCAAAAAAGCTTGTCTCGAATATAGATAGCGAAATCGCTAGACATTTTCAAAAAGATAAAAATTTTAATTTTTCTAAAAATATGTTAGAAAAAAAGTTTGCTGACATTGACAAGAAATTTGAAAATGTTTTAAACAAGAACAAGAGGAAGTTTAGAAAATGCTCAGATAAAACCCATACATGACAAGTTCTTATTTGCTCAGAAGGTATAACAGGTCTAATCGCACCACCTGGGTCGGTAAGACTTTCACTTATCTTAAAATGGCTGCACAACAACAAGAACTAGATGAGAAGAACCCATTTATGATTAGTTGTCATTTGTAGTACTTCGGGTCAATTTGACCAAACCGTCAATTCGTTCAAAGATATTATAAAAAAGTCTTAAGTTAGTATGTATAAAAGACTCTGAGTTGTTGGATTGGATAAAGAAGTACCAAAGAAGAGTTTTGAAGTACAATGCTATAAATGAGTATGTCAATTCGAAGTTTAAAGACCCAAATGAGGAAATGCAGAGAATATTAGAGAAGAAACACTTCAGAACAAACAGAAAGAGATAGAATACATTTCGAAGAAATTGCAATCTTACGATTGGAAAACGTACCTCATAGATGTCTTCTTATCTTAGATGATTTCGCCTCTCATCCTTTGTTAAGAACAGAGAACAAGACATGTGTCGAATTCTTAAGAAGCTCAGACACTTTAACATCTCAGTTGTCATTTGTGTACAGACAGCAAAGAGTTTAAGTAAGGATGTTAAAAGAATACTTACTGATATCATACTTTTCCCTGGATTGTCCGAAGACGATTTCATGGAACTTATGAAAGAGTCCATGGCAGGTAAGTTTGACAGACATGAACTATGGGAGAAGTACAAAGTCATACAAGACCCTCATACTTCTTTCAGAATTCATATCTACGCAAACAAAGTTCAAATTGTAAAAAGTCAAGCTTGAAAAATAAAGAGTTTTAGTCTTAGTCTGTTGTGGTGCTGGGGCTGTCGGTTCTTCTGGCTTTGGAATGGACTCGGTTGGTGGTACGTCGGACATTCGTTTGTGTCCTGTCGGAAGGAAGAACTTTTCCAGTTGTCGGGAAAATATTTTCCTGTTGTCAAGAAATTTTTTTCCTGTCGGAAGGAAAATTTTTTCTGTCGTTCGACCAAAAAGTTCTCAATTTTCGAAAATTTGAATGGTTTACGGACGAACAACTGGAAAAATTTTTCCAGTTGTCAGGAAATTTTTTTCCAGTTGGATGGAAGGACTTGGAATGTCGGAAGGAAGGACTTGGAATGTCGGAAGGAAGGACTCGGAATGTCGGAAGGAAGGACTCGGAATGCCAGAAGGATTTGACAAGACAATTTACCTTATAGAGCTACCTGAGCCATCTTTGGTGTCAAGCGTAAAAATAAATGGTTCATCTACTCTACTTGTTTGAAGTTGTCAAAATACTCTGTTATTTTTTCCTTTAACAATGGCAAATCTTCTTTGAAGGTAAGAATTGTACAACCTTTCATATCATAGTGTGTTTGAGGTAACGTATCTTGAACTATTTGTTTAACATCTTCATTTGGAGTCATTGAAATCGGTAAGTTTTCGCGATAGAACCAATTTCTGTCAGATTTGTAAATCTTAGCAAGGTCGTAAAAGCTTTTGTTGTTTCTTCTGACTAAATGCAACATAACCATATCTCTGTCTTCTTCATTTTCCATCTCTTCAGTGTAAATCATATACTTATAGTTCTTTTCCTTTCCTTTTGGTACCGAACGTGGTATTCTTTTCTGAATGTTTTTGTCTTTTGCTTCAAGCTTGTTCTCTAGCTCTTCACGTTCTTGTCTATGAATTTCATCTAACATCATGAAAATATAACAAGCGTAACGAGGTGAAGCCCACATTGCAACAGCATTTACAAGAAGTCTATGTACATAATATCCTTTCAAACCATTTGGCAAATTTTTACGATTTTCGTACGGAATCTCGTTCCTCGGTTTTCCGAGGGACGCAAACATATGAGGAAATTCTTCTAAAAGTTCTTTTGTCTGTTGGTTTTCAAACCAATGATATGCTTGCTTTGTAGAACGAAGAGTATTCAAAATACTTTGCATTTGGTACATGTCATCTTTGACCGAACGAATGAGACGTAACTGTTTGTTATACTGAACCCACTCGTATTCTTCATCTATAGCTTCATGAACGATAGCAGTTGTTGTGTTCTCTGATGTTGACATATCTGTCTTTATATTCCGGATAAAAAAATAAAAAAAAAATAAAATTAGCGTTATTTTCTGACTTTCACAAAAGACCAAAAATAAACGCTTTACATGTATTTTTCAGCAACTTCGTCAAATAATTTTATAGCTTTGTCGATCTCATCTACTTCAAACGTTTCTTTACCTTTCGTGGGAGCACCATACATTTTCTCAAACTTTTCAAGTAGTTCTGTTTCAGCAGCTCTCATATCATTCACAAACGCAACCTTAACTCTATTGACTGTACTGTCATATCTTTGAGTTATATTATATGTTCTTCCTATCTTATATCTCTTTGTATTGAAGTCCTTCGGTTTCTGAACGATGTAAAGTAAGCCTTCACTGCAACGTTCCGTATCGAATGAACCATATGTTATGAAATTATATCCAACAACTGGGTCAATCCATAACAAAACTATTGGTATAAGACTTTTGTCTATAAGATATGCTGTAGTTCCATAGAATCTTACCGATATCATAAGCTCAGGATTTCTTGTCAAAATTTTCTGAGTAGAAGCAATTCTAACCCAGTCGTGGGATGTTTTCTTTCCAGATGGAGATATAATGTCTGACAAAGAATATTTGTTGTATTTCTTTGAGTATCTTACGTTTAAATCACCTATTCTAACCACTTTGGTCTCATTGTCTATCTTTTTAACTGTTTCAAACTCAGTGTTTGACATTTCCTGTCTTTACATACAAAATAAAAAAATAAAAAAAAATAAAACTAACTTTATTTTATTTTTTCTATCTTAAGGAAATTCATGAAATTTGGTCATTTTTTTCAGCAAAAATATATTTTAGGGTAGAAGGGTATATCTACCCCGTTTTCTACCCTCTTTTCTACCCAGTTATTTTATAAACGTTTCACATGGTAAACGTTATTTTTTAAATTTTGTGAAAACTCAACGGTTTGACACAAGCCCTAAAATATATTTTACTCAGAATTTTACTCAGAATTCAATAAAAATATTTTTAGGGTAGAAGGGTATATCTACCCCGTTTTCTACCCTCTTTTCTACCCCAGTTATTTTATAAGCGTTTTACATGGTATATGTTGTGATGGTTCATGACTTTAAACAGTTTTGTAGCTTCTATTTCTTCACGAAGGATATCAAAAATTTTAACTATGCCGAAGGTTTCTTTATATTTCTTCTTGACATCTGAAAGAAGGAAATCGTTAGCAGTTGGATAGTTTTTGTTCAGAAATGTCAACATGTCCATTTTATCTTCTGCTGGTTTCTCTACTTCTTTCTTTAAGTCAGTATGGTCTTTTCTCATTCTTTCTATCTCTTTGACGGAGTAGTTATATTTCCTTGTTGCTGCTTTACATTTTGAACATTGTGAGTTCATTTTTGCGTTATATTCTGAAATTTGTCCTGCTAAAACAAGTAAGGCGTAGATGGTCTTCTTTAACTCAAAGGCTGCTGGTTTTATCTGTTGGTTCCATACCTTACCTCTTCTATCTTTATCTCTTATCTGCAAGACACACTCAGCAACTAACGAAACAAAGTTGTCGTAGGTCTTAAATTCTTCAGATTTATATATGTCAATGACTTTGTGGTTGCAATGAAATCCAAGAAACTCATAGTTTACCTTTCGTATGAACTTCTTTATTTCTACTGAGTCAGTCAGTCTGACTTCAATTTCATCGAATTCTGGAATAGTGAGTTTTTGTTGTTGTATTTCAGGTAGTTTAGGCAAATGGTCTATAATATCTTGCATTTCATAAAGATACTGTTCATTTGTTTCATCTTTTGCACTACAGTCTAAATCTCCTTGGAGAAGTTCCTGCTTTATCTTCTGGATTTCTGTTTCGAAAGTTATGAAGAAGGAATGAAGCTTTTCATCTCTACTAACATTGAAGTTGGGTTCATGACTAACGAGTTTGGTGCTGTTGTTGCTAACATGTTCTTACAATAAAAATAAAAAATATTTTTTTATTGAATTCAGCAACAAAATTCAAGAGTTTTGTGTGTTTTCTACGATGGTAGAAAAGAGGGTAGAAAACGGGGTAGATATACCCTTCTACCCTAAAATATATTTTTATTGAATTCAGCAACAAAATTCAAGAGTTTTGTGTGTTTTCTACGAGGGTAGAAAAGAGGGTAGAAAACGGGGTAGATATACCCTTCTACCCTAAAATATATTTTTCAATACTTTTTCAGCACTTCTCCGTAGTTATATATGAAAGACAATTCGAGATAAAAGTCGTAGTACAATGGAACAATATGTTGCACACCATTTGTTGTGAACCAAACTTGAAAGTCAGAGAAACTGTTACTAGGTGGTTCGTAGAATTTAGAAGCAAAGTCATAAAAGTCCTTACCAATACAAAGAAAACTATTGTTGCTTGAACTGAAACTTGCATGACACATGACATTTTGAGGGTCAAACACGTTTCTATAAACTGTCAAATCTGTTGGTGGGCGTATAAACCAGAACGGACCGTCAGGTGGTAATGGTTCGTTCTGGTTTAGTAACCGAAGAAATTGTGCCCAAGAACGTTTGTCTACTTCCCAAAATAAAAACTGTGTATCTCTTGGAGGGTTATTTTCAATCCTTTGAAATGAAACTGTGGAGTTCATCTTGTCATATTCTAGTTTCAGATAGTATGTTCCATTTAGTAAAGAATCGTATTTTTCTTGAAATTCCCAGTAGTATTTGTTTATTTGAGTTTGAAAGTCATTTAGAGTCTTCTCAAGACTTTCGTCTGAACGAACTGTAAAGATTCTCATTTCGTCAAATCTGTCTATTAGACCATCAGAACCTCTATACTGACCGTGAAAATATACTGCAAACATAAACGCGTTAGTTCTTTTTGAAAACAAAACTCTTCTAAATCCTATTGCCTTTGCATCTGAAGGACTTTGAAGCCAACGAATTGGATAGTCAAAGCGGTAGGAGCCAGATGAAATTTCTTCATCTGATATAGTCCTACCAGCGTTTGTAAAGATATAGTCTAACGGTTTTGTATCTGCTACTTTTGTTCTTTGTTTTTCAACCTGAAACATTTAATATATGTAAAAATATACTGTTTTAAAAAATGTTTTAAAATGGTATGCAATGTTTTATTTCATATTTCTCATCTAACAAACATGTTGTCTGACTGCTTGAGGGTTATGTTGGTACCATTCGAACTTGACACTTACAATTCCTTCAATTGCATTCAAAATGTCTGAGTCGGAGTCAACCATTTGTTCTCTCTTTGTAGTCTTGAAAGCGTCAAGAAGTTGTGCGGCTGTTGTGACATTGCCATGTGCATAGTAAATATGACCATCTAAATCTGTTACGGTTAGTCTGAGATTGTATCCTTTCTTATTTCCGTCTTGAATGGCAGCAAGTACACCCATGAAGCCTTCTTTGTTCTTTCCTTCGTCAAAGTTTACTGTAAAGGTTCGACCAGATGTAATTTGACTTCTAACTTCACGATACTTCTCATATGCATATCTTGTTCTTTCCATGGGAGCATGTGCGTCTTCACCTTTTCCTTTTTTCCTTCTCAAAGGATGCAATTGTTCGTCATGTTTCCAGTAGAATCTGGCAAAGCCGTCGTGTCCTTCAACTTGAGGCTCAGTAACATTGAAAGGCATGTCCATAAGACGTTCTTCTTCTAACCTCTCCAGTCTGTTTGGATAGTTGGCGCGCGCTGTTTCTAGGTCCATTTCGTAGCGAAGACCAGCCAGTTTGTCATAGACTTTTATGGGTCTTCCCTTCCTATATTTAAAATTCTTTGAAACTCTCCAACCATATCTTTCTAACTCTGCTTTTATTCTAGCAGACCTTCTGTCCATTCTATATGGGGGCATTTTTATAAAAATAAAAAAATATTTTTTTCTTTACTTAACATAACCTCCTGCTACCAGAAGTCTTTGACGCCAACCCATACCAGCTAATGAAGGTTGACTTTTAGTATTGAAACTAAACTTTGGTTTTGGTTTATCTTCAGTTTTTGGTTTCTCTTCTTCTATCGGTTTTTCGTCACTTTTCGGTTCATCTGACCTTACCTCACTTGCTGGTATGGTTGTGTCGTCAACATCTTCATAAATATCATATGCCATTTGTTTTTGTTTTCCTTTCAACTTTTTGTGTTTGTTGTAAAGTTTAGAATATTTCGACTCTAAGTCAATGAGATGTTCTATAATGAACTGTTGGTCAGTGAAGTAAACTTTTCCATCTGTTGTCTCATAAACTCCTTCAGACTTCAATATTTTATTTGTGAGAGTTTGTTTCTTTTTTGAGATACTAGCCGTTCCATTTCTATGAAAAGTGACTTTGTAGTTAGGGTTTGTATTTCCAGACCTGGCACTTTCTATTATTGAATTTTTTTCTTCATCTGTAAGTTCTTTGACAGGTTTTGACAATGGTTCTGAACTTTTTGTTTGTGGTGTCAAATCTACCGTTTCAACTTCTTCGGTCATTTCATCTCAGTAAAAAATTTTAGTTTGGTTTGTTTTCAACTGGTTGTTGTTGTTTTTTAAGTCGGTCTAAAACTTCCTGAGGTATAGGAAGAACTTGACAAACACGTGGTGGTGTAACTGCTGGAAGTCGACAAATCCATCTTGAACCCATTTGTCTCAAAGCTGTATTGTTCATTTCATCTCAGTAAAAAACTTTACATTCCCCACGTTTGAGGCGGTTGCGGTTGGTTGTTGTTTACCCACTGTTGTGCATGGTTATATCCTCTGTTAAAGAATCTTTCACCTTGGTCCATGTAGTGCCCTGCTTGGTTATAGTAGTCATTTGCTTTGTTATAGTAGTTTCCTGCTTCTCTTCCTACATTGTCCATCCATCCTTGAACTTTTCCTCTTGTTTCAGGATTTGGAATAAGATTTGCTGCATCTCGTGCTACATCCCAACCTTTCTGTACAGTTTGTATAATAGGTTGTGCTTTCTCTTTCAGTATACCTAATGTACTCAAAATCTTCCTTCCAATTCCAAATGCACCTCTGGCTAGTGTTCCCACTGCGGGCAAAAATCTAGATGCGACTCCTGCTATTGCGCCAAATAAACCCATTTCTTATGGGTTAAAAATGACGAATTCAAACAAGGACCCGTATGTTTCTAAGGCAACAAAGAAAGCACTCATGGTAAAAATCTTTAGTTCAACACCAAATGCTTGGTTTATGGATATCTTGGAAAACATTCCGAGGTATAGAGAAGATGGACCTCCATACTGGCTAATATTTGTTGGTCAAAACACAAGATACTGTGAAGCCATACCATTACAGTCCAAAAATATTTTAGATGTGAAAACTGCTTTGACAATATTCGTTGACAAATACCATCCAACAAAACTGACATCTGACTGTGAAAGTTCTTTCAAATCAGACGATATTAAAAACTATCTGCGTTCAAAAAATGTAAACCAATATTTCATTGTCGACCAAAACCATTCTGCTCTTGGTGTCATTGACAGTTGTATAAAAATCTTAAGAGACTTAAACCAACCACAAGGTGGTGAGGTAGATGAAATGTCATATGACGACAAGTATAGACACTTCTCCATGGCAAAGATGAGACAAGTTTTAAATATTTACAATAGCCGTAAACAAAAAGGTTTGGGAAACCACTCCCCCGAAGAAATGAAAAACAACCCTGACTTAGAGAAAGACTATATATTTAATAGTTTAGTCAAAAGAGACAAACAAGAAAGAATGCCAGGCTTCAAACTTCAGAAAGGTGACAAAGTAAAAATAGAAATACCTAAACGCGACCCATATGAAAATACTATTGACTATGACAACAATGGGAACTCGACAGGTACTCACGTTCGTGTTCGTAAAAATAGAAGAAAGTATACAAGAGAATATTATGAAGTTTTAGGCAAACATGGCAAAATGTACAGACTGCAAGCAGAAGATAAAACTACTATTGTCAGACCTCGTTTCAAACTTGTTAAGGTTCAAGGTGGTATACTTTCAAAGACAGTTCCTAACAAATATAAGACAACTCCTGACGAATATGCTAAAGAAGTTGAAAATGACGACTAAGCATTTCTATACCATGCGTAAACTGTCATGTAAGGTGGCATGTAGTCTTTACTTTGTCCCGTTGTTTGCGTATACCCTGAAACGCGATGTGTATGGTTTCCTTCTCCCTGTGTGCTACCCCAGAAACAATTTATAGCAAACTGAACGTTGTCTTTAACATCATATCCTTTACCTTTTTTCATTGCTGACCAATCCCAAAATCTATGCTTATGCCAACCTGCTTGAGATGTACTTAAATCTATGTAGTGACTGTGTGCAGGTAAGTTTTCACCTGAAATCGTTTTACTTCCACCTGTTTCCTTTGAAGAGTTTGCACAATACAAAAACCTGTCGACTATTTGAGTCCAAGTTCCAAAACCAAGTACTACTTCTGGTCTGGTAGAGTTCATTGACGTGTAAATAGAACCTATAGGATATAGTGTTTGAAGTATTTCTGTCTTTAACGTTTGAAGCTCTGTTTTGTCAGCTTTTTTATCATATAAATCTTGAGCAGTGAATTTAACTTTGTTTTCATCCTCCATGACATAGACATTTCTACATCTAATGTCTTTATCCGATGTTATGTCTTCTTCCGATGTTAAACCTTGTGGAAAGTTAGGAGGTTTCCAATCTAATACATCCCCACCAGCTCCTTCAACCGTTCCTTCAATATTTTCTATACCAACAGTTGCGAAGAAATCGTGTGTATGTCCAACGTCACTTTTCCTGTTTAAGGTTTCTTGTAAGTTTGTAATATTTGCAATGGTATGTGTATGAGTCTTTTTAGAATATTCTTTGTCAGCTCTTGTCACTTCACTTGACATTTTATTGTCAACATATGTTTTATCTGCTTTGTCATCTAACATTGCTGGTAGTTCATCTACGTCATAGATGTTATGTGTATGGTGTTTTTGTGGGTATGTTCTATCTGTCCATGCGAGAATATAGTCTCTTGTTGCATCTACATACTCTTTGTCAGCTTTCTTTTCAACATCTGCTTTCAAAAGAAGTTCATCTATAGGTTTCTCGTTTAAAGTTCTTTTTGTTGGATTTATACAAACAGTATGGTTCTTACTGTCTTGAAACAGAAACTCGTCTGTCATTGGGTTTATCGTCAGTTTTAAGTTTCCTTCTTTCAATGACTCAGATATCTTAGAATAGTTTGAAAAGTTTGTTGTGTTCTTATTTAGAGCTTGCACAATGAGTTGTCGGTTGTGTTGTATTTCTCTCATAGACGCTGTTTCTTTCGACATTTTTATTCTAGATAAAATATGCTTTCAATAGAAAAAGAAAATTCAAGAGTTGCTACAACTAAACCATTAGATGAACTTTTTACGAATGTCGGTCAAAAGTTTGAGACAGAGACCGTAAAGCATGAAGGCTATCGTTTTGACTACCCACTTAGATGGTTAAGAGACCCATCCGTCACAAAAGCTATTGGCTTTCGTAGAATGAAGTTCATTTCAGAAGCCATACATGGTTTCCCATTTACGGTCGGTTTTGAAGTTCGATACTATAACAAAGAAAAACGTATGTATGAGAAATTTGAACAGGGAAAACTTTTACAAGTGAATTTGCTTGTAAACTTAGAAACAACTCTTCAAGCTTTTCAAGAAAAAATAAACGATATCTATCTCGAATATGCAAAACAGTACAACATTGACGAAGGAGAGTACCATCTCGATATTATATATGACAGGAAAAATGCAACTGTTAAAATCAATAGAATAGAAGACCTTGGAGAAGACGTTTATATTTCTACAAAATATAACAACTTGGCATGGTATAGATTTTTGAGGATGTTAAATCAGCCTGCAGAATATCCAGTACACCCGAACTTTTATGAAGTCGAAAACCCTAATGGAACATATGAAAATGTTTTCGACTCAGATGCTATTATAGTTCATGCTTCATTTTCTGGTGCACAAAACTCTTTTTTATGCTTGGCAAATGACTTTTACGAAAAACCTACAAAGCTATATGAACCGCCGAGTGGAAGTATTTCAGACTTTCAAGTATGGTTTACAACAATGGAAGAAAGAGAATAGTTCCATTATACCATGTGTTTTACTTAGAACTTAGTTTCATATACAACTACTATCGAACGGTAAAAATATAATTTTTTAATACGGTTGAGGTGTTGGATTTGGTTGCCAACTTGACTGTGGTGCAGGTTCAGGCTGTTGTATAACAGGAGCTTGTTCTTCTGGTTCAGGGTCTTTAGGTATAATACCAACGAACTGACCTACTCTTTTGCCAATATTTTTGACTCCGTTCCAAATTCCTCTTCCGACAGATTTTATTCCATTCCATATACCTCTTCCAACATTTCGAAAGAAGTTTCCTATCTTACTGAAGAAACCCATTTTACTATATGTAAAAATCTAATGTCCGCCTAGTCTCTTACGTTTCCTGTTGAGTTCCATAGCATTTTTTAACTGGAGCTCATACATTCTATTTCTCCTCTGGTAGAAAACATATTCTGGGTCAACTCCTGTGTTTGCGTCATCTGCATAAAGTTGTTTATATCCCACTTCAGGGTTTGTATAAAACTCTTTCCATCTCATATTTGCATACCATGGTGGCAAACCTAACGCAGCGTCATTTGACATGGCAGTTTGCATTTGTACATCTGTTGGCACTTGACCATAGTTTGCCATTGCAGTTTGTATTCTAACTTCATTTGGAATATTCTCTGGGTTTGGTTGTCCAGGTTGCTGTGCATTCGCTAAGTTCTGTGCGTCCATTTAATATTAGATAAAAATATCTCTTACGAGTACATATACTGAACATTTGCAGGCATTGGTTCATCTTCATATTCTCTGTACTTTTCTGCCACGTCAAATAAATAAATGACACAATGGAAAAAACCTAAAACAAGTAGTCCTATTTCAAACCACATTTACTTACTAGTAAAATTTCTTTGTTATGACACTTTCTCCAGTTTATAGGACCTCTCTCATATTCTATCTTATCGTATCTAAACTCATAGTCATGTATGTCCTCTAACCATCTCATGACACTTTCCAAACCACTTTTATCGGATGTAAAGTAAAAGCATGGATGGTTATGTAAAACGTCTAAAGTTTCTAAAGAGTCTCTCAAAGTCCAGTCTACTTGGTATTGAAAATCCCATGTGTTAAAGAACGGCGGGTCCACTATAAAGAAAACATTTTCCTTGTCTTTATATTTTTCATACAACTCTGTCCAATGACATCTCACAAACTCTATACCCTCAATATATTTTTCTATGTTCTCTTTGAAAACATTTGTATAGTTAAGATATAAAACTTTTGACATAAGTGTTTCAATGTCATGAACTCTTATAGCACCACTATATAATAGTCTAGCAGATATACTATCCCAGTCAATATACTCTGCCTTTTTCAAAACCTCTCTGACAGTATTTTTCTTATCTAATGGTATACGTTCCATCTTACCTATAGGTATCTTTTCTTTTAACTCTTTCAATATTTTGTTTGTGTCTGGTATATGTTTGAGACGGTTCATATAGTTGTCGAAGTCATTGCATATAATCTTTGAGTCAGGAAATATTGTATGGCACAAATGAGATATATAGAAACTTCCACCGAACAAGTCTACAAATGTTAGACCATTCGGTAGTTTCTTAAGTTCTCTCAATAGAATATCTTTACATCTACTCTTATTTCCAAAGAAGGGTAACGGTGGTTTTGTAAAATTCATTTTATATACAATAAAAATGTTTTTTCCCTGAAAAGTGACAGAAAAGTGACAAACATGAAAACTACTCGGTTAAGGTTTTTGACAGATGTTTTGTTGTGACTTCTTCGTAAAGACTTTGTTGAGACTTCTTCGTAAATGAGTGTAAATGACCCAAAAATATATTTTAGGGTAGAAGGGTATATCTACCCCGTTTTCTACCCTCATTTCTACCCTCTTGAATTTTCATGAATTTCTTCGTAAAGACTTTGTTAAGACTTCTTCGTAAAGACTTTGTTGAGACTTCTTCGTAAAGACTTTGTTGAGACTTCTTCGTAAAGACTTTGTTGAGATTTCATCGTAAAGACTTTGTTAAGATTTCTTCGTAAAGACTTTGTTGAGATTTCTTCGTAAATGACCCTAGTAGTATATTTTTGGTGTAAAATTCATGAAAATTCAAGAGGGTAGAAATGAGGGTAGAAAACGGGGTAGATATACCCTTCTACCCTAAAATATATTTTTGGGTCATTTACACTCATGAACTTTCTTGTCTATGTTTTGTTAAGATTTCTTCGTAAAGACTTTGTTGAGATTTCTTCGTAAAGACTTTGTTGAGACTTCTTCGTAAAGACTTTGTTGAGATTTCATCGTAAAGACTTTGTTAAGATTTCTTCGTAAAGACTTTGTTGAGATTTCTTCGTAAATGACCCTAGTAGTATATTTTTGGTGTAAAATTCATGAAAATTCAAGAGGGTAGAAATGAGGGTAGAAAACGGGGTAGATATACCCTTCTACCCTAAAATATATTTTTGGGTCATTTACACTCATGAACTTTCTTGTCTATGTTTTGTTAAGATTTCTTCGTAAAGACTTTGTTGAGATTTCTTCGTAAAGACTTTGTCAAGACTTCATCGTAAAGACTTTGTCAAGACTTCTTCATAAAGACTTTGTCAAGACTTCTTCATAAAGACTTTGTCAAGACTTCTTCATAAAGACTTTGTCAAGACTTCTTCGTAAAGACTTTGTCAAGACTTCTTCGTAAAGACTTTGTCAAGACTTCTTCGTAAATGTTTTGTTAAGACTTCTTCGTAAATGTTTTGTTAAGACTTCTTCGTAAAGACTTTGTCAAGACTTCTTCGTAAAGACTTTGTTGAGATTTCTTCGTAAATGTTTTGTCAAGACTTCATCGTAAAGACTTTGTCAAGACTTCTTCATAAAGACTTTGTCAAGACTTCTTCATAAAGACTTTGTCAAGACTTCTTCATAAAGACTTTGTCAAGACTTCTTCGTAAAGACTTTGTCAAGACTTCTTCGTAAAGACTTTGTCAAGACTTCTTCGTAAATGTTTTGTTAAGACTTCTTCGTAAATGTTTTGTTAAGACTTCTTCGTAAAGACTTTGTCAAGACTTCTTCGTAAAGACTTTGTTGAGATTTCTTCGTAAATGTTTTGTCAAGACTTCATTTATACTAAACATCTTCGGGGCTAGAGGGCACGAAGTGCCTGGAAGCCCCACTACCTTTTTTTTTTTTTTTTTTTTTTTTTTTTTTTATTATTGCTTTATTACATATGTTAAGTAAATTTTTATAATGTAATTTGGAGAATAATCTTGAACAAGAATTTTAGTTATTCTTGGCTAGAGGATGTTTTATATAAATTACATAAAAGATAAAACTTTATTACTTTTTATAAAATAAAATCAAAAGAAAAAAAATTATACAAATAAGCTTTGACCTTCATCTTCCATATAGGATGTGCTTATTTGGGAATAGTTAGTATGTGAATACCCAGGAGAAAATATTCCTTGCTGTTGATTTTGCGGATAACCTAACGAGAACTGTTGCTGCTGATTAACCAGCATTGGTTGATTTTGTTGTTCATTGTAAATCATCTGTGAGCCATATGAGAATTGATTTTGTTGTTGATTCTCTGATGTTTGGACTTGTTGTGGAACAAATGAGAACTGGTTTTGTTGTTGATTCTCTGATGTTTGGACTTGTTGTGGAACAAATGAGAACTGGTTTTGTTGTTGATTCTCTGATGTTTGGACTTGTTGTGGAACAAATGAGAATTGATTTTGTTGTTGATTCTCTGATGTTTGGACTTGTTGTGGAACAAATGAGAACTGGTTTTGTTGTTGATTCTCTGATGTTTGGACTTGTTGTGGAACAAATGAGAATTGATTTTGTTGTTGATTCTCTGATGTTTGGACTTGTTGTGGAACAAATGAGAACTGGTTTTGTTGTTGATTCTCTGATGTTTGGACTTGTTGTGGAACAAATGAGAACTGGTTTTGTTGTTGATTCTCTGATGTTTGGACTTGTTGTGGAACAAATGAGAACTGGTTTTGTTGTTGATTCTCTGATGTTTGGACTTGTTGTGGAACAAATGAGAACTGGTTTTGTTGTTGATTCTCTGATGTTTGGACTTGTTGTGGAACAAATGAGAATTGATTTTGTTGTTGATTCTCTGATGTTTGGACTTGTTGTGGAACAAATGAGAACTGGTTTTGTTGTTGATTCTCTGATGTTTGGACTTGTTGTGGAACAAATGAGAATTGATTTTGTTGTTGATTCTCTGATGTTTGGACTTGTTGTGGAACAAATGAGAACTGGTTTTGTTGTTGATTCTCTGATGTTTGGACTTGTTGTGGAACAAATGAGAACTGGTTTTGTTGTTGATTCTCTGATGTTTGGACTTGTTGTGGAACAAATGAGAATTGATTTTGTTGTTGATTCTCTGATGTTTGGACTTGTTGTGGAACAAATGAGAACTGGTTTTGCTGTGGAACAAAATTGTTCATTGCTTGCATAAAATTAAACATCATTTGTGATGGATCTGTAAATTGATTGGCAGTTCCATTCTGATTGAATCCATTATCCTGTTGTTGAACAAATGACTGCTGATTGAATTGAGTAAACAACTCAACAAGCATTTGTGGAGAATTTTGTGTTTGAGGTTGAGACATTGTTGTCAAAGATTGACATTGGGGAGATGCAAAACACAAATTATCTTGTGATTGCTGATCAGTGTTAACTCCAAACTGTGGACTTTGTTGAGCAAATGTTTGATTATTTGATTGAGCAAAAGATTGATTTTGTTGTTGAAGATTAATTACAGATTTTTGCGTTTCCATCTGTTCTTTACATTTTGCTGAGTTTATTGTTTTATCATATCCAAAAATAATTTCTTTTTGAGTTTCTTTTTCTGTTACAATTTCTTTCATCTGATTGAATACTTCAATAAAAATCATATTTTCGCTTTTCTTTGAATAATCAATTAATGATTGATATATAAAATAAATCTTATCTTTGCTCAATGAATTCTTAAAAATAATATAAGGAAGTTGAAGACAAAGATTTATTGCGCTTGTATCATTAAGATTTTTCGCATCTTCGATTTTGAACGATTCAATTTGAAATGTTGGATCCCCAAAATTGAACGAAAATGTATCAACTTTTTTCATGTCGATATCATTAGAATTCATTGTATTTATCTCATATCTTGTGAATTTAATGACATCTTTTTGGCAATTAGATGAATTATTGTTATCGAAATAATGCAACGAGTCTAACCAATCTTGAGTTTGGAAATTTGTCATTTCACTTAAATAATCAAAAATTTCGAATATGTCATTTATCTTAATTGGGCATATCAACCTGTACTTTATTTTTTTGATAATCCTGATTTTATCAACAAAAATGTCAACAATACTTTTGATCATTGAGTCTTGATCATTGACTTTGGGTTTAAATTCTCTAGCAAATTTGTAAAACTTATTGAAGAAAAATAATAAGTCTTTCTTGCTGAGTTTTTCTAATATTGGTTTCATGTATGAAATATCTTCTGACATTGGCACCCATGAATGGATCCATAGATTTGATTCATCATCATAATCAGGATCAAAATTTTCACTGCATAATCTAATACATGTCTTTACCATTGTTTCTGAATTGAACTGCTTTTCTTGAACTATTCTAACTCTTGAATTGTTTTCAATAACAAGAAAACAAAAGTTAGTAACATAATCAGGATATACATTTTTGATGTTGAAATCGATATAGCAATTAATATTCGGTTCATCATATGAGATGAAATAAAATCCAAATATCGTGACCATTATAAATTTATGATATGGCTGTGGTACGAATTGCTTTGGTCTGATTTCATTCCAATCGCAAATTTCAAAATCATAATAATTGACGGGATAGTTATTAAGATCTTCATCATTCCATGAAAAGCAAATTTGATCATCATTCATCTCAAATGTAGCATCAGGGAAAATGACATTGTAATGAATGATTTTCTTTTTATCTTTACAACTGAAAATAAAATCAATGAAATTTTCTTTCTTTGGCTTTGTAGGGAAACAAATTTTTAATGTCAGCTTTCTATCAGTGATAGTTAAATCAGAACAGTCTAATTCATCACTGTATTTCATTTCAACATTCATTGTCTTCTTGTCATATCCAAATATATTAAATGTGTTAATATTCTTAAAGATTCCTGCAAATAATTTATTTGTTTCAATAAATTTCTTATCACCTCTAGAATGGTAAATCATTTTCACGTCTAATTCCTCTTCGAATTGGATTCCAGTATACATACTATTGTTTTCTTCTTTGCATGTGTGAACAACAATTCCAAAGTTTGGATTATTCTTAACTGAAAGTTTTGATAAAAAGTTGTTTTCTTGTGAGCAAGTAACATCTATTCCGTAGATATCGATCCAATGAGGAATTATATCAAAATGATTATCAAATACAGAGATATTCAATTGCTTGTTCTGACTATTCAATGATACTATTGGTCTTTTTGTTTCATTATCAATTCTGATATCAACATCATCAATTTTGATGTAACAAAGACTATCAACAATATTGTATTTGTAACACAACGAGAATTCAAATTTATTAATTGTTATTTTTGCTGTGAAAGATTTCTCGATTAGCTGAAGTGTATCGTGATGAATGTTTAGAGTGATCATAGAGTTTTCATATGAATAAGTTATGAAACTTTTATCAGATGAAACCAAAATTAATGGATTATTCGTGTCATCGCTGATGTATTTGATATTGATAGAGATTGGATATGAAATAATATCATTTACATCATGATTGGTAATTTCAATTTTGGAGAAATTGGAATAGGTTTTCCCTTCAAATTGTTCAATGAATAAATGATCAGACTTGTTATAAAACAATTTTTTTGTTTCCTTTGGCAAATTGTAAATTGGCCGTTTTGATTCAACTTGTTTTGAAAGATTTTTATTCTGTTTTTGTTTCTTCTTTTTTGAATTTTTGTTATTCAATTCCAAACCGCGATATCCGTTTGTTGTTCCTTCTTGTTTTTCAATGATAACTTCCTCTGAATTTGATGAATCATTGTAATTTGTAGCTTTGGCAAAATCTTGAATATTATCCCTGATTAAAATGAGTTCTTTTTCATCATAAATATCTGAAAGTTTTGCATTTATTTTCTCAAAAACTGGTAAATTCTTGATTTGAGGGATAATCGATGCTCTGATTCTTTGAAGGTAGTTGCAATGAGAAACAATCATTTATGCAAGTCTTGAGTTTGAATTTTTGTAGATTTCGAATTCCTCATCTTTTGAATGTTTTTTTATATATTCCTTAATGATGTCATCCAAATTTTCTGTTTTCAAATCTTCTGCACATTCCATAATATAATACAAACACTTTATTGTTGAAATGAACTTCTTATCATTGCAGCTCTTATTGTAAACTTCATCAATGTTCGCCGAAACAATATTTTGCAATTCCATGTTTTGCTCAATTGGGAATGGTTCATCTTTCTGAAAGAGTTTCCATCCAATGAAACTAGAAAGCGTAAGGTTGTAAGTTGGTGACGTATTCATTAATTTTTCAGTGCCAAATTGGATTTCGATAAAAAGATACAATTCTTTTGTTAATTGCGGTGAATTCAAAAAAGCACCAATCATATAATCTAGAACAAATATAGGTCTTTCGACATTCTTGATTTTATTTGCATTATAATTGGCTATAAATTTATAAAAATCACTCCAAATAGTGTTTTCCTGAAATACTTCATTATTATAAAAACATAAGTTGAAAGGAGCAAGATCACTATAAAAATCAATGAAATCATCAGCTGATTTAAATAGTTTAACAATTTGCATCAAAAATATTGGAAATGCGTATTTTTTCTCGGATAAGAATTTATACAATTCATACTTTTTCCTTTCATTTAGTTTACTTACTCTGCTTTCCCTTATATTAAACAAGAGGATATTTTCAGGAATTCGATCCTTTAAAATGATTACATTGTTGTTATGCCATATTGGTGCAGTAAATCGATCCAATGCTGTTAGAATTGTTCTAAACTCTTCTAAAGTAAGATCGTTTATCAAATTCTTCCATGGTGTGATGTCGAACATAATCCAATTGAATTTTAAATAGTTTACAAAAAATTTTAATAAATTGATAAGACGGGATTTTTTGAATTCAATCATTTTTAGTCCAATTCCTGTCTTTATCACATAATATTGATAAATATGTGACTGTATATTGCTATTTTGGATTTCGTTTTTTAAGTTTTGACGTGAAATATAGTTTTCTTATGATTATATATATAACTACATTTATTAGTACAGTCAGAATTTAAAGGGATGACTGATATTTTGTTAATTCATCAAAAACATCACCAACTTTACAATAGAAGTCCATATTCTTCAAAAAGTACTTAATAGATGATGCCAATTTGCTAACTTCATCTGTCGAAACCGAATTTGTTGGGTGTCTAAGTTGGCAAATCAATTCTTTTGATTTTCCGTGATCAACTGTGTATGTGAGGAAGCATAATTCACCCGAAGAGTAGTTGTTTGGAATGAGAAGTGATGCGCTAATATCTAAAATTGGTCCTGTTGCTTTGAATACGCCAACATTGGATGTTTCGAGGTTAAGACTGTTTAGAAGTGGCGATTTGAAGTTAGAATTCTTAATAAATCTAAACAAATCATCCAAAGCTTGCTTTGAATCAAATATCTTTCTAAATCTGGAGCAAACAGACTGAAGTGTTTCATTTCTATCTTTCATGGGAACTGCAACTGCCTTGCGTGCAAAAATATCTGCGTGCTCGAATGTTGTTTTCGAAAGATATGGTCGTAAGTTAACGCAGACATAGACTCCGTATTTATCAAGGTATCCATTGTGTGCTGCTGTTGAAAGGATAAAGGATGTCCAGATATTATCTGTAATATTCTTAACTTTCTTTGTATTTTTATTGAATGCTTTTAATTGTTCGTGAGGAATAACGAATCTGTAATGAGCTGCTGGATCTGTGTCTTTCTTTGGTGTTGTAGTTAAAGTGTAATTGAAGGATGACGAATCAAAGTTTGCTTCTCCGGAAATATTTTGTAAATAATCACTGAACGCATCTTCTAGGGAAATGGACATTTGCGAGTGCTTGTCTTCCAATTTAGATTCTCCTAATATGTACTTATTAAGTTCCATTAAATATCCACCATCGGAAGCTGTATGGTTGGAATTCAAAATAACCATGTTGTCATTGTATGTAACAATACCTAATGTTTCATTACATGATGGAGTATGATGTTGTTGAACAAATTTCGTTGCTTGGACTAAATCTGGAAATTCTGGTATTTTGACTATATCTGGTGTTTTATCGAGTGGTATTAAATGAGTACCATCGGATCTTAGTCGAGTTCCTAAAACTTTGTGATTCAATAAATTTGCTACGTCAAAAGCATCTGATTTAGAACCAAATTTCATTGTTAGTTGGACCCATATTTTACCTTTAATCGGAAATGTTTCGAAGGGTGATAATTTTCTCATCTGGCCAATAATTATTCACTCAAAAAATGTCATTTTTTTATTTGAACTCATCCTTTAGGATGATTATTGAAATTTAATAAGGCACTTGTTTGTTAATTCATCAAAACATGTTTATTACAGTAGTTATTTAATAAAAAAAATCATAATGAAGATTGATATTTTGCTAATTCATCAAAAACATCACCAACTTTGCAGGATAAGTCCATATTCCTCATAAATAATTCTGATGCTGCTGCTGTTTTGCCGATTTCCTCTGTAGAAACCAAATTTGTTGGGTGTCTAAGTTGGCAAATCAATTCTTTCGTCTTTCCATGGTCTACGGTATACGTAAGGAAGCACAATTCGTTAGCAGTGAAGTTGTTTGGAATGTAAAGCGCAACATTAATATCTAAAATCGGACCTGTTGCTTTGTAAACACCAACATTAGATGTTTCTAAGTTAAACATGCCATTTAGAGGCGCTTTAAAGTTACCATCTCTTTGCAATCTAAACATATCATCTAAAGCTTGTTTTGAGTCAAATATTTTTCTGAATCTAGAACAAACTGACTGGAGTGTTTCATTTCTGTCTTTCATTGGAACTGCAACAGCTTTACGAGAGAAAATGTTTGCATAGTCAAAAGTAACTTTTGGAAGATATGGTCTCAAGTTAACACAGGCGAAGCATCCGTAGTTGTCAAGATATCCATTATGTGCAGCTGATGATAGGATAAACGATGTCCAGATGTTATCTGTAAAACTTTGAACTTTCTTTGTATTTTTATTATATGCTTTTAATTGTTCGTGTGGGATAACAAATCTGTAAAAACCTGCAGGATCTGTATCTTTCTTTGGCGATTTTGTTAAAGAATACTTGTAGAGGGTAGTAGTAAAGCTAGTTTGTCCAGGAAGACTGTTATAATATTTAGAAAATGCTTCATCAAAGGAAATAGGTAATGGAGAATGTTTGTCTTCGATATCAGATTCTCCTAATATGTACTTATTAAGTTCCATTAAATATCCACCATCGGAAGCTGTATGGTTGGAATTCAAAATAACCATGTTGTCATTGTATGTAACAATACCTAATGTTTCATTACATGATGGAGTATGATGTTGTTGAACAAATTTCGTTGCTTGGACTAAATCTGGAAATTCTGGTATTTTGACTATATCTGGTGTTTTATCGAGTGGTATTAAATGAGTACCATCGGATCTTAGTCGAGTTCCTAAAACTTTGTGATTCAATAAATTTGCTACGTCAAAAGCATCTGATTTAGAACCAAATTTCATTGCTAGTTGGACCCATATTTTACCTTTAATCGGAAATGTTTCGAAAGGAGATAGTTTTCTCATCTGGCCAATATTATTCCAAAAATAAAATGGCATTTTTTCAATGATATCTCATTTTCAAATCGACTCTTTTCATTATATAGTCATTTAAATAAAAAATATATTTATATTTTATTTAGAAACAAAATTCATAAATTTTAATCAAGAATCATATATCTCAAAGTGTCTTTTGGTATTTTGTCAACTCATCAAACACATCGCCAACTTTGTAAGATAAATCCATGTTCTTCATGAAGAATTCAGTTGATGATGCGAGTTTACTGACTTCTTCTGTTGCAATCAAATGTGTTGGGTGTCTAAGCTGGCAAACTAATTCCTTTGTTTTGCCATGATCAACAGTATAAGTAAGGAAGCACAATTCGTTGGCAGTGAAGGCATTTTGGATTTTTGTTGATACATAAATGTCTAAAATTGGACCCGTTGCCTTGTAAATACCAACATTGGATGTTTCTAAGTTAAACATTCCAGTTGGCACTGTCTTGAAGTTACCGTCTCTTTCCAGCCTGAATAAATCATCTAAAGCTTGTTTTGAATCAAATATTTTTCTGAATCTGGAACAAACTGACTGGAGTGTTTCATTTCTGTCTTTCATTGGAACTGCAACAGCTTTACGAGAGAAAATGTTTGCATAGTCAAAAGTAACTTTTGGAAGATATGGTCTCAAGTTAACACAAGCAAAGACTCCGTAGTTATCAAGGTATCCATTATGTGCTGCAGATGAAAGAACATATGAAGCCCAGATGTTATCTGTAACGTTCTTGATCTTATTTGTATTTTTATTGTAAGCTTTTAGTTGTTCGTATGGGATAACATATGTGTAGTAACTTGCCGCTTCAGTATCTTTCTGTGGTGATTTTGTTAGAGTATACTTATAGTGAGACGTATCAAAGATTGCATGTCCACGAAGACTCTTATAGTAATCAGCAAACGCTTCATCGAAGGAAATAGGAACTGGCAAGTGATTATCTTCCATCTTAGATTCGCCCAAAATGAATTTATTAAGTTCCATAATATAAACACCATCGGAAACTGAATGATTGGAATTCAAAATAACCATATTGTCGTTGTATGTAACAACACCTAATGATTGGTGACATGAAGGAGTATAGTTTTGCTTTACAAATTCTGTGGCCGCAATTAAGTTGGGAAATTCAGGAATTTTAACTAATTCTGGTGATTTTTCTAATGGTATTAAGTGGGTTTCATCAGATCTCAATCTAGTTCCAAAAGCTTTTTTGTTAATCATGTTGGCTACATCATATGCTTCTGATTTGGAACCAAATTTCATTGCTAATTGGATCCAATTTTTACCTTTTACAGGGAATATTTCAAATGGTGCGAGTTTTCTCATTGAACAAATATCAAAAAGAAAATCGTATCTGTCACTTTTTCATGGATGAAAAATATGAAATTCTCTGTTTTCTCCATTTTTATACCAATTTCAATTTTTTAAAGTGACAAATATATTGAAAGAGATTAAGCATATCAAGAACTATTGATGTAGTTAGTTTTTAAGGATTTTTATTGAATCGAATAATAATTTCAGAAATTTAGTTATTATGATTGATAACTAAGGCAAATATGATAAAATAACCCCTTTAACATTGGATATGTAATGAGTTAATAGTCGAATTTACTTATTTCACTTTTGATTTTCTTCTTACAATAAAATTGAAAAGATTTTCTCAGACCTTTGAAATAATTTTACATTTCACATTCAATTTATTTATATGACAGTCATTTTTGTTACGCAAATCATAATTAGAAACATATAAATGAGAGATTTCTTTGAAAATAATTTTGCTTTGAAAAAAAGTAATTATATTTCTGACAAACTATAAATTCATTCATTTTATCTTCTATCTACTCATATTAAAAATTGCACGATAAAAATGAACGCCTTGATAGTACATTTTGAATGCCAGTATTATTTTCAATGATAATTTGCAATAAAATTCTAGTCTTTTCATTGCAATGAATCGTTGTATTTCCCTTACTGCGCTGACTCGTCCCTCAAATTCAATGAGTTCTATGAATTATAATACATAAATATTGAAAAGTGACAAATAGATTTTAAATGCATTCATTTTTTATTATGCCATTCTAGAAAATATCAAATCGACTTCATTTTCAACTCCCATTAGCCATATATCACCAAATGCGATAGAATTCTATAAATTTGATTTCTTGCTCTATTTTTGTAAACATTGAATTTATGTCAAATTTTTGGAAATGTCAAGTGCTGCGTTCATTGAACCAATCCTTGAAACGATTGGTTTATTATTGGATCAAGCATCTGGCAGCGACGAAGATACTAAACCTGTACTAATTTTACAAACGTCTAATTTCTTTACAGAGATTTTACCTAATATCTCTGAAAAGGACCAGACGTTTGAGAATTTATCTTCAAAGGCGAAGTATCTTCTCAAATTGGCATATGATTTCTTGCCAACATTTCTTAAAAATCAAGAATTTTCACAAAAATTAGTGGAATTACTCATCAATATCATCAATTCCAAATTAAGGATGAGCGTGGCCATTGAGTTATCATCATTTATGAAACAATTTTTGTTTGAAAATTACGATACTTCAGAAGGTTTCCCTGATTTTGAAAAATTACTTGCCTTATTCTTCGACATACAAGAATTTGCGTCCCCATTTGAGCAGCAAGGTGGCATCTTCTCTCTTTGGGACATCTTCAAGAACAAACAGAAGGTCGAGCACTCGAAATTTTTGTTGCAAATGAATCATATCTACCTTCAGTCATCAGATCCATCCGATGCAAATGCATTCTTATCATACGCTATCTCATCATTCAATGAGATTGATCAAACAGTATTTAACCAAGCATTCCAATTTTTATTTAACATTTTCTTGCATCAAAAATGCGATCTAGTATCGGAATTCTCCGTGTTAGATGGTTTTGTACAGTTAAACAAGTATATTCTATCGCATAATCAATCAGATCTCTTAGTTCAATACCAATTTTTCCGACCACTCATACAAAAGGATCAAAAATACAAAATACCGCAGCCCATCCAAGGCATAATACATTTGGTCATCCAGGACGAGCTTACGTCCATCGCAAGGACAGATGCGCTGTTAATGTTGTTAGCGTTCATAAAAGACTTCACAAGTGAAAACTTCCCGCTAAAACCTACCGACATCATGCTAATTTCTTCTAAGTGCAAGAATCCTGGCGAAATTGCTGCTTTGTCAGAAATTTTATTATTTATTTCTACGAATCTTGAATTTGACATCGCATCACTATTCCCTGTTATTTCCAAGCTTATGACACCAGAAATTCTTCTCAATCAAAAGAGCAATTCCATTTTCAAAGTCATAAAATTCTGTTGGAGCACATTCGGACCGGAAGGTGCAACATTTGTCATCAATCTCACAAAATCATGCAATAAAGAACAGCTCGCGACACTTCTCAACAAATACCAAGAACTTTACAGTGTGTCATCTTTATCAATTGCCAGTGAATTCATCAAAATCGACGACAAGAAGGTATTCATTACTAATTTCATCAATGCAGGTCCATTCCTTACCGACGTTGAAGAGTTCAAAGCTGTTGTTGCTGATGCAATGTTCAATAATGACTTAAGACTAAGCGTGATCATGGAAACAGTCAATCTGAAATCACAGAATGACATAATACAGCTCATATTCTCCGCAGTTCAGAGGGCATCTATGAATCCTTTCATTCGTCATAAAATTATCGAACAAAACATACTGAAAACTGTAGCTACTTTATACATAAGTGGCAGTTTGAGCATTGAATCCATCATTGATTTAATCCTAACTCTTTCCGGCCATACATATAACCAGTTATTAGACCTCCAAGTCGCAAATTTCGTCAATCAGACAGAGTTGTTTAAGATAAAAGACCATGAGACATTCGAAATCTTGGCTTTTGATAATGGAAAATCGTTGATCTTCCCTTCATTAATTCATTTGTGCGAGAAAATAGTCCTAAGAACACCATATGATATCTGGGTATGCGCCCAGTTTGGTTTGGAGAACTGGATGAACCAAACAGGCCGATCAATCTCTGAATTTCCGCAAATCAAACAATTATGCAAACACTACATCCTTCCAAGCCACGCAAACATGCTTCTGGACAACCCGCACTTAATGGTTGAGTCCATATCTGAAGATTTTTCACTCACACCACTGTTCCAGTTCCAGAAGAAACTCCAGAATTCGCATCTAAACATAAAACTCGGAATGTCAAGTAATTCTGGCTTATCTCTCTCGTTTTGGTTCTATTTTACAAAACTTCCTCAGAATGCGCAAGTCATCTGCAACTTCATGAACAATCTATTATGTCTGAAAGATGAAAAACTTAACTACGGTGACAAAGAAGTAGCAAAAATTACTGCAAAAAAGTGGCATAACGTAATATTTACTCTGACAAACCAGTTGAAATTGTCACTTTTCATGAATTCACAATTAATTTACAAGAGCCAGCACTCTGTCAAATATGACAATGTGACATGTTTTTCATCATTCACAAACCATGTATTGTGGTACATTGGCGGCTGCATCAGAGTCATTACAAGACAAATTTCTGAGAACGAAATATCGAAAATTTTCAAGAAAGGAGTTTCGAACACCACGAAATTCATTGACAAAGAGAAACTCACTGTTTCTGCATCGACATACTTGAAACCATTCGGAGGACACCATGTCTCCAACACGCAGAACAACGGCGAGAACGTTCTGTACGTTCCTTCTTATCCACTCATTCATCACCTCCTCTACCACCACGACGGAAACAACTTCATCTTCAAATTAGTGGTAGAATGTTTGGCCAAAAGTGACAATTTTGAAGATTTTGCATCAGCGAATGAGAGGAAATGCATTGAAAAGTCCATTTTGATATCAGATCCAAGTCCACAGAGTTCTTCTGATGACAACAGCACTCAAATATCAGAGACAAACTCATCAGAAAATTTGGTATTTGTCAATGATTCAAGAAATACAAGATTCGAAATTGCAAGTTCTCCAAAGGAAAACGAAAATTTGTCATTGTCAGATATGAAGTCAAAAAGTAAAACATTTTTGTCAAATTCCGTCATAAAATTCCAGTCAAACTCTGAATTGGAGAAAGCTATCAAATACATCGAAGAGCTCTGTTGCATGCAGAAGTACAGCAAGACAAGCTGGGACAACAGAGAATTTGCAAAGCACATCTCTGTTTTGTTAAACTTGTGTCCAGATGTATTTGACGAAAAAATGACAAACCTTTGGATGTCAGTTTTCATTCAAAATGAAAAAGTCGACTGGGATTCATTATTGATCATTCTTTTAGATCCTGGATTGTTAAATACATCTCAGGCAAAGATCATCATCTCCAATTTGTTTGGATTGATCAGTCAGTGCCCTCCTCCAAACGAAAACCAGGAAGTTGACCAAATTTTCTTGTTCTGCTTCGTTTCTCTTCAGTTGATTGACGACTTTACCGATGAAGTCAAACAAGTAATTGTTGATTTCATGTCCAAACTGAATCCGTCAACAAACATTTTGACGATTTGCTTCGTCGGAATGACTGATTTCAAGGCATTGATAACAAATCCAACAATTCAATACTCTATTCCACAAAAGAGCCAAATTTACTCTGATTTATTCAAACAAATCATGAAGAAAGTTACTCCAGAACAGTCATTCCAGTTCATTTTCAGAGTTGTGAACCCAGAAGACGTAATTTTGAGTATCCACGAAATTGTTCTCGCTTCTCTCAAAACTAACACAAACTTGGACAAGAAGTTCTTGATGAGATATTGCATAGAGAACTGCTACAACAAGGCCACATGGGCAATTGCTTATTCTCTGTTTGGAAACAGGCCAAACGAAGTAGATGATGAAAATTTGAGTTACAAGAACTTTGATTTCTCAATTTTGGATGATTTGCTAATAATGATCTCAATTCTTTTCACTGTCAACGCAAGGCAGGGAAGTTTCTGGGACAAGCAGATGAAGTTCTGCGCTAAAATACTGAGTGAAATCTCTGATAAAATTCCAAAAGATTTGCTGAACGACGACAAATTCATTTTCGCTTTGTGCTGCTTAATGTACGGAAACAATTTTGTCGATCACATGACATGTTACCCGTTCGAGCCAAAGGAGTGGGATGCGGAAATTGTCTGCAAGAAGGCGATGCTGAGAGGACAGCCATTCTCCGACGGAATGCCTGCAAACTGTCCTGCACCAATATTCAATTCATTGATTTTGGATGAAGAAACAGTCAACAATGCGAAGAAGACATTGTTAAACATCATTCCAAAGCAGATCAACTTCTTACCGCCAAATAATGATGTCACCTTAAATTCAGGTGTATTCCCCCTCTCTTTCCAACAGAGCATTCACCACAACAACAAACAGATTTACACATCATGGGGCGAATTCACAACAGTTTTAGTTGGAAAGTTACTGAGATCAGATGAAACATTGTCACTCAGATCCGACCACAACAGACAGAGAAGAGTGTCAGACGCATCATTATCCAGCAGGCCAAGAAGAGTTTCTGACCACAGCCAGCAGATTCCTCATCCAATAGTTCCGCAAGCTAAGAAAATTCCAAACTTGAGTCCACAGCAAATAAACACCATCAATTCAGAAATGTCTGCAAATCCAAATGCAATTCCATCAATGACTCCTTTCCAGATGCCAAGCAACATTCCGATCATGTCAGCAAGAAACAGAAGAGTCAGTGACGCGAATTTGCTTCCAAAGAGAAGAACAAACGAAGGCACTGTTCCACCAAGCCAACTCACTGTGATGCAGAGACCAAATGTGAATTTGATCTTCGTCAAAGATGTTTTGGCATTTGTTGTTCAGATTTTCGTCAACATTATCAATGATGAGAACATGTTCACTAAGTTGTTGGATGTTTTAGTTCTTTCTCATGTTCATTTGATTCCAGAACATTCCATCTTTGTTCTGCAGGAATACGTCGTTGCTCTCCTTAATCATTTGACAACAAAGAGAATGTATTCTCAAATATTAGTTAACTTCACTGTGGAAAGAATCAAAGAAGGATGGTTCTCACTCAAAATACCAGAAATTCTCAAGATTTTGTTGACAAATCTTGAAAAAACAAAACAAAAAGTGACAATTTCTCCGAATTTACTTGAATGTATTGTCTTTTGTTTGACTATTTCACCAGAAAACAACTTCCTTAAGATTGGAGAGCTATTGAACAGCTACCAGAAGATTGTTTTCCCACCACACAAACAATTTGACTACATCCAAAATATTGACACTGTTTGCAGCGCAATTTTGAAGTTGAGTGAGGACAAATCGATGAAATCTCTTGCAATTACAATATTCAACAAGATGGCCGAGGATTCAGACTTCAACTCCTTCTGGGTATCCCATACAGAAGAAGAGTCAGTTGAGAAGACAAAGTCTCTTTTGGTTGAAAAGAATTATTTGTTGCCTTTCAGAAAATTCTTCACGAAATTTGAAGAAAAAATGTATTCCAAGATATTGGCAACTCTCCAGAGTATTGCAACTAAGAGAGCACTCAACGCAAACAAGTTCTACGAAGTGGCAGACGCATTCTCTCATTTACTCCATTCAGACATCGTAATTTCAAGATCAATTTCATGCACTTTGTCTCTTTTCATGAGAGATTTGTTCATTTTCCATTGCGAATACTTCTTGAGATCAAGGGAGCAGATACTGACACAGCACAACTTGTTCATTAACACAAACGGCGTCACCAAATCTCTTTCATTGTTGACAGATCCATTGTACCCAACAAAAAGACTCGAGAACTCTCCGGCAATATACAATTTGCCAACATATCCAAATGGAAGTGTCTCTGAGAGCTATCCAAAGACTCCATTTATTGAAGAGAAGCTCCAGCACTGGCCAATAAAGCTCAGAAACATCATCTCAATGCCTTACCAGTTTATCCAGCACTTGGCTTTGCATGATGTCCAGAAATCCCTTCTTTTGACGTTTTCTTGCTGCGAATTTTCCATTCCAGGAATATTGAGATTGGGAATTGTCCAAGCTCTGTTCAACTCAGGCGGAAGCTTTGTTCTCCAGCAGCCAATCGACTTCCTCTACGGCGTTGAGCCAATACACGGTTTGTTGTTGAGAGGCAGATCGAGTTTCTACTTCTTGTTCGGAATTTCCGAGGGACAGAACTCTCTTTGCGCTGTTAGAGAAGAGTTGTATCCATTATTATTGAGGTTTTATTTGAGCTACATGATCACAGGAAACTTCGGAGAGTGCTCTCTTTATGGTGGAAGACCTGTTTTGCAGTGGAAATTCAAGGAAATATTTGGTTTGTCGAAGCATTTGTGGCTTCAGAAACAAGTTTCATTTGAAGTTTTCACAACGAAAGGATGGTCATTCATTCTCATCTGCGACAACAAGAAGAATTATAAGACAATCTTTAACTCTTTCTCCGAGATCCAAAACGACACATTCTCGAAACTTCCTCCAATTTCATCACACGTTTTCTCACCTTTGACATCATTCAAGCAGATAAAGAACGGATTGAATGAATGCGTCAAAGCATGGGAAGACAACAGGATATCCAACTTTAATTATCTACTTTTGTTGAACAAGTTCGGCCTCAGATCTTACTCAGACTATTCGCAGTACTTCGTCATTCCATGGGTTGTTGGAAACTTCCTTGGCGATAAAATGCCTGAGAAAGACTTCAGAAGGGACTTGTCGAAGCCAATGGGACAAATCGGAGAGCAAAGAATCGCCAAATTCGAACAGATTTTCAGAGATTCCGGAGACAGTTACTTCTACGGAACTCACTACATGCATTTCGGCGTTGTTTTGTACTACATGTTTAGAATGGATCCATTCTGCATGTTCTCTGTTTATCTGCACCACGGATGGGACCATCCAAACAGAATCTTCTTCGATATCAAAGAGAGCTACAACTCAGCCGCTTACCAGTCACCTGCAGACGTGAAAGAGCAGATTCCGCAGTTGATAACGGTTCCTGAGCTGTACAGCAACATCTCGAAGATTCCGATGAAGAAGAGAGAAGATGTCGTGATTGCTGAGTATTCGAAGAATCCAAGAGATTTCGTAATGAAAATGATGAAGTATTTCGAAGACGAGGAAACATCGAAACACTTATCTCAATGGATCGACTTAATCTTCGGAAAACTATCTCGTGGAGATGGAGCTTTGCAAGCAAAGAACATCTTCCATCCTCTCTGTTACCCATCAATCAAAGACGACGAAGGAATTGACGAACTCGAAGACGACGACATCGAAAGAGAAGCAGCTAAAACATGCATCACAAACTTCGGCCAGTGCCCGCCACAGTTGTTCAAGAGATTGCACTCAACAAGGAACGATCTCAAGGCTGTCACTCACCTCTTGACTGAGCCAGAGAACATTGTGATGCAGAAGGTCAACTCCTCTAAATACAGCCCTTACACAGACGTCCAAGTCAGAAAGAACGAAATCATAACAACGGATGGAAATTCTTCCATTGTTAAACCGAAATGCCACTACTCTATCTGCGTCAGCCACATTTCCCACACAATTATCACTTGGCAGCACGACCCAACGAAGAGATGCCATGACATGATGAAATCTGGAGACACAATTGCAACAGACATGTCGATAAGAAGCTCAAGTGCAACAGGAATTTCTCCAGACGGACTTTACTATGGTGTCGGACAACACGGTGGATCAGTGATCGTTTATAGACTGATCTACAGAGGAATGAAACCTGTCGAGGCGATCAAAGAGTTCATTTTCGAGACATCTGATTCGGTAAGAAACGTTGTTTTCTCTCCAGAGCATTTCCTAGTTTTCGCAACATCGAAGAGCGATGTCGACGCGTTCAGCATCGGAACAGGAAGGAAGGCATGGAGCTACAGACCAGGATATGAAATTTACTCACTCTGTGTCGACGACAGAACAGCCGAAGTAATTGTGGCAGGCAGCGAAATCTCTGTTTTGTCGATATCCGGAGACGAACTCATCAGAAAGAAACTTCAGAGAACGGCAACATGTGTCAGAGCAACGACATTGAGAGAGACAACAGAGAAGCGATTCTTCGTTGTTGGACATGTCGATGGAACAGTTTCTTTCTGGACAATCGACTACGAAACAATGACGATCAAAGAAAACGCACATATAAGATGCACAAATCAAACAATTGTCAATATTACAATTGACAAAACAGCACAGAGAGTTGTTTTCTCTTCTTTGCATGAAGTATTTGAGGCTTCTTACAGAGGAACAAATCTTAAGCCTCTCTCTAAGGAAATGGCGAAAGACTGTTGTGTCTGCCACAGCGAAAATTCACAAAAACTACGTCCTTGCACCATTTGCAAGAGATTTGTTTGTGATGGATGCTCCAAAGAAGAAGGTGAAGCACAGACTTCTTTCAAGAAACTATATTGTGATGAATGTTATTCATTATTTAAGAAGAAAGATTAATTATGTTTTTTTGAATATATTTTTAATATGTTTTTTGATCACATGAATTTAATAAAAATAACTATTTATTTACTATTAAAACTTTAATGATTTTATTGAATTATAATCATTTCTGACCCAAAGTTCTATAAAGTCGAATTTTTTTCTTTCTGACATATTCTCAAAAAGTAGACCATCGGATTAAATATTCCACAAAAAAATCTTAATCGGGATATTTATTATGTTTCTTCAAATTTCTTAGAATATGAAAAAAAATCGTTTTTATTGACACTTTTAAGTGTTTTTTTATGGTATATCACAAAGACTGAAGTCAGATAATACTGATGATCGAGGCATTGAATATAGTGACCCTAGTAAGACAGTTCTTATTCAATGCCCAGGTAGTCTCAGTGGTGAGGTCGAAATTCTTCAAAGTGTTAAAGTTATCCTTGGTGGTGACAAAGATGTTAATAGTCCATTTTATTCGTGCCGCAGTACTATTACGTCATTTAAATTTGCTGCCTTCAGCAAATGTGAGAGCATTTGTAACTTTTGTTTTTCGAGTTCATCTCTTGAGAGTGCTGATCTTCGTCAATGTGAAAACCTTGCCTATCTCAACTATTCTGTTTTCAGTAATTGCAACAAACTCTCAACATTTTACTTTCCACCAAAAATTAAATCTATCAAAAGTGGCTGTTTTTACAAATGTACAGCACTCAAAATAATAAATATACCAGATTCTGTTGAAGAACTAGATACTTATGTTAATGGTCATCGTGTTGCTTTTTCTGATACTGCTTCGATTTCCCTGAATATATCTCCAAACTCGAACCTAACAACATTAAAAGCTGAATGTTTTGCTTCAATTAAATGCAAAAGTTTATTTATCCCAAAAAAAGTGACTTTCATTGGTGGATCCTTAATTTATTCTAGTTCTATTGAAACAATCACTATTGATAAAGATAATCCTAAGTATATGACAGATGGAAAATCTGTTTATACAGGAGAAAATAATAAAACATTAGTTGTAGTTGTTCCCACATATCAAGGTGAATTTGTTATTCCTAGTTTTGTTCGAGAGATATCTGATGGATGTTTTCGCACATGCCACATTACAAGCATTATTTTTCATGACAGTATCACATCCATTGGTGCATGGGCTTTTGCTGTGACAGATTTAACTTCGATACGACTCCCTGATAAAATAACAATCATCAGGTATAATTTGTTCAGAGAATGTCCTAGTTTAATAGCTGTAAATTTCTCTAATAAAACAACAGTTATAGAACAACAAGCTTTTCAAGGTTGCCTTAACTTAGCTTTAATAGAATTCCCAGCATCATTGGAGACTATTGGGCCTTCAGCTTTTGCTGTATGTCCAAAATTAAAAATTGATGCATCGAAAAATGAAAATGTAAACTATGTAGATGATATGTTATTTACAAACAAAAAGAAAACGCTTTCTAGTTATTTTGGAACAGACTCGAATAAAGATTTAATTGTCCCAGAAGGATTAACAGATGTTGGTGCAGGTACATTCATGTCCAAAAAATTGAAATCAATAGTTTTCAATGGGGCGACACTTGAAAACATTAATTTTCAAGCATTCAGAAGTTGTTCTTTAGAAACGATATCGTTACCTTCAAGTTTAAGATATATAGGACAGGAATGCTTTGCAAACTGTAATAATCTAAAAACTGTGACGTTTAGGGAGTGAATTTAGTTACAATCATCCCAATGAAGTGCTTCGAGAATTGTAAATTGTTAGAAAACATCATCCTTCCTAGTTCAGTCACAACTATTCAAGAGTATGCATTTTCAGGCTGTGTTAATATTGGTGACATTGGTCTTTCATCCACACAGATCTCAACCATCGACACTTATGCATTCAAAAACAGCGGAATCACTATCCTTGATAATACTCACAACGTCATCAGCTTTGGCTACGGATCATTCTACGGAAGCTCCATTGAGAGTATCACATTCCGCACAGTCACTATTCCATCTAGCTGCTTCTTCGGGTGCTCATTGCTCACTTCGATCAACATTGTCTCTGTCGACACCATCGAAGACTCATCATTCGAGAACTGCGTTTCACTCACAACATTTGTTATTCCTAGCAGTCTTCGCATTGTCAAGTCTTTTGCATTCCGGAGTTGCCTCTCTCTTTCCTCAGTCACACTTTCCCTTGATAGCAACATCGATCAGATCTATGGTGGTGCATTCATCAACTGCCCCAATCTCCAGTCGATCAAGCTTGATTCTAAAGACAGCCGATATCGCTTCAGCAACGGTGCACTCACCAACTACGAAGAAACGAACCTTATCACGTTCATTCCTTCTAGCCTGATCGACACATACATTGTCCCAGTTACTATGACATCCATTGGGAACTATGCGTTCATGTCATGTCCTAACCTTGTTCGTGTTCTTTTCAGCGGCAACAGCATCCAGACTATTGGTCGCGAATCATTCAAAGACTGTCCTAAGCTCTCATTCCTATATGTCACTAGCAGCAGTCTCACCAGCATTGGTGAAAGTGCTTTTGATGGATCTCCTCTTCTCTGTCGATGCGGTTCAGTTCGCTGCGACAAGAACAAACGCGATATGTTCATTTCTAAGGGCATCCCTACTATTTCATTCAAAGTTGACTGTTCTTATGCAGGTGGCTCATGTGGTCACAATCCAACTCTTATATCCAATTTATCACCAATACTCATTACTCCTTTAATTGTAATGTAAAATATATATTTTTTATAATAATGTAAAATTTTTATTATCATTATTCATAATTTTTAACACAATCAATATATCTTTATTTGAATTTCAAAAAAGTATAACAATCATTCAAGTACTATACAATGATTTATAATAACTTTTTCCCAACAAAAATTATTGTCTTTTTACCTTTGAAAATTGGTGTATAAAGTTCGAATGTCAAAAAATTGAGAGAATACCAGAAAGTGTTAAGTACGTCCTAAAAATAAATTAAATTTTTTCTAATATAATAAGATACGAAAATTAATTTTGGTTATTCAATTAGATATGACAAATTTGTTTATTTGATCAATATAAGCATTATATTATATGCTAATGGACTTTTAGCAAAGCTAGTAGTTAAACATGTATATATATATATTTATATATTTATATATATATATATATATATATATATATATATATATATATTTATATATATATATATATATATTTATATATATATATATATATTTATATATATATATATATTCCTCCAAAGTTCTTCCATTTTCATTGAAAGGGAGGGGAAAAAATAAGATTTAGGAGGTTGTACATGATAATTAAAAATTATCTAACATACGATTATTTTTGATTCAAAGCTTTTCGTTATTAAAATTAAAAATGATCATAATCTTGAGAATTGCACTGTGGTTGTTATAAAGGCACATTTTGATTATAAAAAATATATATTTTACATTACAATTAAAGGAGTAATGAGTATTGGTGATAAATTGGATATAAGAGTTGGATTGTGACCACATGAGCCACCTGCATAAGAACAGTCAACTTTGAATGAAATAGTAGGGATGCCCTTAGAAATGAACATATCGCGTTTGTTCTTGTCGCAGCGAACTGAACCGCATCGACAGAGAAGAGGAGATCCATCAAAAGCACTTTCACCAATGCTGGTGAGACTGCTGCTAGTGACATATAGGAATGAGAGCTTAGGACAGTCTTTGAATGATTCGCGACCAATAGTCTGGATGCTGTTGCCGCTGAAAAGAACACGAACAAGGTTAGGACATGACATGAACGCATAGTTCCCAATGGATGTCATAGTAACTGGGACAATGTATGTGTCGATCAGGCTAGAAGGAATGAACGTGATAAGGTTCGTTTCTTCGTAGTTGGTGAGTGCACCGTTGCTGAAGCGATATCGGCTGTCTTTAGAATCAAGCTTGATCGACTGGAGATTGGGGCAGTTGATGAATGCACCACCATAGATCTGATCGATGTTGCTATCAAGGGAAAGTGTGACTGAGGAAAGAGAGAGGCAACTCCGGAATGCAAAAGACTTGACAATGCGAAGACTGCTAGGAATAACAAATGTTGTGAGTGAAACGCAGTTCTCGAATGATGAGTCTTCGATGGTGTCGACAGAGACAATGTTGATCGAAGTGAGCAATGAGCACCCGAAGAAGCAGCTAGATGGAATAGTGACTGTGCGGAATGTGATACTCTCAATGGAGCTTCCGTAGAATGATCCGTAGTCAAAGCTGATGACGTTGTGAGTATTATCAAGGATAGTGATTCCGCTGTTTTTGAATGCATAAGTGTCGATGGTTGAGATCTGTGTGGATGAAAGACCAATGTCACCAATATTAACACAGCCTGAAAATGCATACTCTTGAATAGTTGTGACTGAACTAGGAAGGATGATGTTTTCTAACAATTTACAATTCTCGAAGCACTTCATTGGTATAACTGCGAGTGGTGAATTCGTATCAAAAGTTACTGTCTTTAAATTGACACAATTCAAAAAACACTCTCTGCCAATGAAACTTAAGCTTGGAGGCAAAGAAATCGATTCAATAGTACTACTCTGGAAAGTTTGAAGATTAATATTAGTTAGTGTTGCTCCATTAAATGAAATTGATTTTAACTTTTTCCCGCTGAATGCGCCTAAACCAATCTCAGTTAGTCCTTCTGGAACAACTAAGTCTTTGTTTGGATCAGTTCCAAAGTAACTAGAAAGAGCTTTCTTTTTATTTGTGAACAACATATCATCAGCATAATTAATATTTTCATTCTTTGATGCATCAATTACAAGTTTTGGACAATTTGCAAAAGCGCCTTCTTCAATTGTTTCCAATGTTGGAGGGAATTCGATTGAAACAATAATAGTAGAGCCTTTGAAAGCTTGGGATTCGATTGTAGTCGCCTTACTTGATAAATTCACATAAAGCAATTTAGTGCAGTCTCTGAACATGTCATGTTTAACTACTGTTATTTTTTCAGGGAATTGTAGAGAAGTTAAATCTGTCACAGCAAAAGCCCATGCACCAATGGATGTAACATTGTCATGAAAAACAATGCTTGTGATGTGGCATGAACGGAAGCATCCATCATATATATCTTGAACAAAACTGGGAATAACAAATTCACCTTGATATGTAGGAACAACTAGAACTAATGTTTTGTTATTTTGTCCTGAATAAACATACTTTCCATCTGTTACATACCTAGGATTTTCTTCATCAATAGTAATTGTCTGCACAGAACTGGATATTAAAATTCCTAGGCCAATACTAATAACTTTTTTAGATATAAACAAATTTTTGCATCTAATAAATGAAAAACATTCAGCTTTAAGGGTTGTTAAGTTTGAATTTGGTGAAATATTCAATGCTGTTGATGAAGTTCCACTGAATGGCCAATAATGACCATTAGTGTATGTATCTATTTCTTCAACAGAATCTGGTAAATTAATTGTGGTTAGCGCGGAACACTTATAGAAACAGCCGCTTTTGATAGATTTAATTTTTGGTGGAAAGTAAAATGTTGAGAGTTTGGTGCAATTACTGAAAATAGAATAGTTGAGATAGGCAAGGTTTTCACATTGACGAAGATCAGCACTCTCAAGAGATGAACTCGAAAAACAAAAGTTACAAATGCTCTCACATTTGCTGAAGGCAGCAAATTTAAGTGACGTAATAGTACTGCGGCACGAATAAAATGGACTATTAACATCTTTACTGCCACCAAGGATAACTTTTACACTTTGAAGAATTTCGACCTCACCACTAAGACTATTCGGGCATTGAATAAGAACTGTCTTACTAGGGTCACTATATTCAATGCCTCGATTATCAGTATTATCTGACGTCAGTCTTTGTTATAACATCAAAAAAATAATAAAAATTAAAAAGTGTCAATTAAAAAAAAACTCAAATTTTATGTGTAGAAATGAGATATAAAAAATTGAAGAAGATAAATTTTGTTTATTTAAAAAAAAGGAAAAATGCAAAAACATATTTCAAAAATATATAAAAAATAAATATATAAAGTTAATTAGTACCAAAGTTACCTGATTTTCTCATTATTCTGAATGCGAACTGTACGTAAAAGATTGCAGATCTCATCTTTAATGGTCCATCGCATCTATTTGGTATTTCCGAGTTAATCAACGCCTTCTTTTGTGCCCTCAAAGACTCCAGCCTGTACATTAACTGTCTGTGTCCGATTGAAGAAAGCGCCATCTCTCCGATGACGAATCTCAAGTCCTTCGCGCTCTGGCAAGGCGAGTCTCCGTCAGTGACATTGGAATACAAGTCTCGTGCCCATCTGTCCCACTCCTGGAGGGCTTCCACTGTTTGCGTGACCTTCTGGATGTCTGCAGCTTTTGGCGGAATTGCGTTTTGTCTTGTTGATTTTTGTTTCTTCACTGTTTCCAATTCCTGTTTCGTCTGTTCCAGCTGCTTGACTAAGTCATGTGTCCTGTCCACGATCTTCTCGTTAGTTGCATCTTCTTCTATTGACAGTGTTTGCTTCAGTTTGTCCTTGAAATCGTTGACTTCTTGCTCGAATTCGATGTTTTCTTGTTGTATCGATCTCTCCATTGTTTGTTGTGACTGAGACAATTGAGATTCCCAGTAGCTTTCTCTGATTTGCCTTGCGTTTTCTGCAGCTGTGATTGTTTGTTCGAGTTTTGACTCCAAAATCGCTTTCTCCTGCTTCAATGTTTTCACATCTGTCTTCAACTGCTCTACTTCTGCTGTTGAAGTTATGTTTTGCTTTGAAGGTGATTTCTGCTCTGTTCTTGTTTGGAGTCTCATGATGAGTTCCTGGTTCTGCTGTCTGAGAACAGCTGTTGCCTCTTTCTGCTGCTTGAATGCTGCGTCGTATGTCTGGATTACTTCTCTCAGTTTCTGCTTTGTTTCCTGTAGTTTGTTGTGTTTGTTTTGGATTTCCTGCTGCAGTTTCTCTTCTCTTTGTTTGAGTTTCTCTTCGAAAGAGTTCAGATCCTCTGAATGCTGCTCTCTCTGCTGCTGAAGCATCTGCTCCAGTCTCTGCTCGAACTGCTGCGACTTCTTGTTCATCTGCTCTCTCATTCTTTCGTTCTCTTCCTTCGATTCCTCCAAACTGGACTCTATTTCCTGGTAGTTCGCCATCATCTTGTTGAGTTTCTCGTTGACTTCCTGCTTCTCTTGGTCGAAATCTTTGTTCTGGCTCTGGAGTTTGTTGTTCTTCTGCTGCAGGTTGTCGATCTTCTTCATCAGCTGGTCGATGACTTCCTTCTGGTGTTTCTCTTCCTGTTCGTGGTTTGCGATTGCTTCCACGAGTTTCTCCTGCTCCTGCTCTGCCTGCTCCTTCATTCTGTCCATCTGAGACCTCATGTCTGCAACTGACTGCTCCTTCGCCGCTGTGATCATCTTCAGCAGGTCATTGACAACTTCAACAGCGAATATCGGCAGATCAACAAGTTCTCCGTCGAATTTGACTGCCTGGCGGAGGTCGTTGTCGATTTGCTTGAGGATGAGAGATGAAGACTGGCAGTACTTCGTGATGAACGAGATTGTGGAGTCAATGTCCTCTTCGTTGTAATCTCCGTCGAGAATCAGTTTGATCTGCTTGGCGAAATTCTGGAATTTCCTGACAAATTCGACAACGGAAGGAATTGAGTCCTCTATCTCTCCCTCGATGTGGAGCGGCTCTCTCACTGAATTTAATTGGCCGCAGATGCCTTCCTTCCACGATTTCAGTTTGTCGCAGTGGCGGCGGAGGATGTCGTTGTTCTCGCTCTCAAGGGCAATCACTGCAAAGGCCTCTCTCTGCCTCAGGTTGTCGCTCTTTTCAAGTTGATCCACTTCACTTTTGACTTCTTTATCTGTGAGTTTTTGTTCACCAATTTTATTGTTTGTGATGAACTGCTTCGTCCTCGCGATCTCTATGAGCATCTTGTCTCTGACCGCCTTGTCGTCAATCAGTGGATCTGAGGCGCTCTCAGGGCTGAGCAATGCGGTGGAGATGACTCCTCTGACTGAAGCGGACTGGAGGAAGCGGAGTTGGTTCTCCAGAGCGGAAATGAGCCTGGCGTTCTGAGCTTTGAGTTCCTCGTTGGCGTCGCTGTCGACAAGGCTGGAGATGACGTCAGGGAGCTTCACGGCGGAAACATCGCCAAATTTCTTCTCGATGATGTCTTTGGTCTGAGGATCCATGTCGTCCAGCATCGCTGAGCAGTCGATGTCGCGGCTCTTGACAGCAGTTGTCTCAACCTGCGACTGTAGATTTTCGATATTGTTGTTAAGAGCGGAAATCTGGTTTGTAGCATCGTTGTAGTCGTTCTGTAAGTGCTCGATGCGAGAATCGTATGCTTGAAGAAGCTGTGTCTGCTTTTGGAGTAATTTCGAGGTTTGTGTGAGTTCTGAACGAAGCTGGATGATGTCGTTGGCTTGGAAGTCGGTAAGTTCCTGGAGTTTCTCGATTGTTTGCTTGTAGCCGTCGCATTCGTGCTCGAGATGTTCGATATTTTCTGGACTTGCGGCAATGAGCTGTTCCTGGGCATCCTTTAGGCTGTTGATGAGCTGGTTCTGCTCAGTAAGGAGTCTGGATTTGTCGGCTTCGAGTTCCTGGACTTTGAATCTCAATTTGTCGGAAATTTGCTGGTAACTCTTTATCTTTATGCGCTTTGATTCTGCTGAACTCTTAAGTGCATTAAGTTCGACGTTCGCTTCAGAGAGTTCTTTGTTCGATTGCTCGACTTGTTGATTTAAACGGTTTACTGAAATCTCTGACATCTTGACCTGGTCACGGAGTTCCTGGATGGTATCTTGTAGCTGTGTTATCTCAGCTTTGAGTTGTGTTTGTGTGTTGTTGTTATCTTTGCGCAGTTTATTGTTTTTCTCGTCAGCTTGCGTTAATTTATTGAAATAGTCGCTGTTTTCGGATTTGAGAGCCTCAATCTGCGATTGTAATTGGCGAGAAGCTGTGTTTTGCTTTATAATTTCTTGTTCAAGTTTCTTTATATGTTCGTTAGAGTCGACTAGCTGCTGTCTGAGGTCTTTAATCTGATTATTTTGCTCGCGCTCGTTAGGCTGTTCGGTAGATGCTTGCGGAGCTGAATGATAAGCCAAAGTACAAATTGCTTGTTCAAGAATTTTTCTGTCTTTCGATGTAAATTTGACGTCTTCCTCTCCGGATAAAATTGCATGGACGTTTTCTGCAACTGTTTTCAGATCTTGGTTGTCTTTCGCAATCTGAACTAATTCTGGAGGGATTTCATCAAAAGAATTGCAAATAGATGAGATGGCATTGATGCGGTCGGCATCTACTTCAGATATCTCTTGGTGAGGTGATTGCTGCTCAGCCTCAGCAGGATTCATTTTTTTATGATTTTCTATTTTTTTTACAATGTAAACTCCTTGAAAAACCGCCAAATTTCTGTTAAATGTATACATATAAAGGACTACTTTTAATTAGATAGATATATTCACTTGGTTGTATTGCATTGTAATTTTATATAAACGTTCGCTAAATATCATTATTTTCTGTTGAAATTTGAAAAATTCTAGATTTTTAGGCCTAATTGCAAAGATCAAGTAAATACTATAACATACAATCATTGTGTTGCTGATATTTCGTGATAATGGCTTCTGATTTAAGATTTTTAAAATCTCCTCTATTGAGCAAAATGGAATTCGGAAATGATTTGCTGTGTTTTTGAAATGAATTCCTTGAATCAGGTGCATTTTTAATAAGGAAAGCAAAAAAGAATTTTCCTCACTCAAAATAAAAACAAGCAGTCCAGCATTTCGTTGTGATTTATGAGATGATTATATATATTGCTAATAAGGAATAAATTTAACTGCTTAAAATCGAATTTTGAGCATGATTTATTTCTGAAATTATTTGATCATTGAATTTTCGGCGATTTAAATGGATCAATCCGCAATATAATATAACTCAAATTGATAAATGCTATTAGTTTAAAAACGATTAAAAATTGCAACCGAAAATGGTCAAAAGTAAGTCACGAAAATATGAAATTTAGATAGCTAATTTGATTTAATTAAAGACGACGAAAAAAATATTTTTAGTCTTATATATATAGCGCATCTATCGGCGCGCGGCGAAGCCGCGCGCCGATATAAGCTGACAAGGCTGTCATGCACCAGTGTGTTATAACAGATCGATTTTATTTGAAATTTCATAAATTTTATTTGAAATTTCATAAATTATAATAAATTTGATATTCAGAGACGGCGCTACGCGCCTTTTAGCATTCTGGGCACTTACGTGCCCAGAATGCAAGCTTGAGAAATTTGAAACTTCGTTTCAAATTTCTGCCATGCTGTTATGGAAAAAGAAATTCAGTACAAAAAAAATTTTTGAAATTGAGAATAAAAATAATATCGTGATTTTTTGTGATATATGGATTTTTTAGAAGATTTTAGAGATCGAAGTCTCAATTTATAAAAATTTTTTAAATTGAGAGGAATTTTAATGATATTATTTTATTTGATATTTGGATTTTTTTAGATGATTTTAGAGATGTCAGTCTCAATTTAAAAAAATTTACAAAAAATGATCGTAAAATAATCGTTTTTGTTCAAATCCTTTTCATTTCGGGAAATTGAAGTTAAATATCAAAGAGATGGTCTATGCATATGTTAGATCAAATCATTAAAAAGTGTTTTGATGACTTTTTCTAACCGCAAATTGTCACTTTTTGATGTTTTAAAATTATTATATATCCTATATGCATCTAAGATACAAATTAATATTAAAACTCCAAAATCGATTTTTGAGAGAATCAAATTTATCACATCTCATCGTTGTTCCGAATTAATATTTATTTGTAATGTACATATTATCACAATTACATTCATCATATTAAAATTCAAAAATAATTTTTGAGTTTCAGATCTCCCTAATTTCCCATATAAATATATGTTTATTTTATTAAAAATAGAATGTCCAATTATTGATAAAAATCGATCCGCTTTTTCTACCAGTCAAGCTGTATATATATAGAACCCATCCATGTAAACCTCGATGTCACTTTTGCGGTCGAGCGGAGCGAGGCCGCAAAAGTGACATCGAGGTTTATATGATGGAAAAAAAAAATAAGTTGGCAAAATATTCAAAAATGACTTCTTCATTCCCATATGCATCCCAAGTTTATTTTGATTTAGTCAAACTTGGAGAGCTTGATAAAATAAAAGAAATCAAAGATATGGACTTCATCGTGACCGCTGTTCTTCCTAAATATAAACTAAATTTGTACCAATACGCTACGCTCCTTGGAAAATTGGACATTATAAAGTATTTTGATTCTATAAATAAGGATGTTTTCTATTCTCTCGACGAACAAGGCAATAATCCACTTCATTTATCTATCATTTCTCAGAGCGAAAACAGCAGAGAAGTCTTTGACTATTTCGCATCCAGACAAGACATTATCAAATCATCAAACTTTGCCAATCAAACAGTTCTTGATCTCTGCATTCAGTACAATAAAATCAAAATGATGTTTGATATAATTCAGAATTACGATGATGCCAGAGAACTAGTTAGTAACCTTAATAATCAGAAGCTTAAAGTAAGCAATCTTGTTGAATTCACCCTTGATTTGTTACAATCTCGTACTGATGATTCTGAAGTCAAGAAACTTCATGAAGAAAATCAGAAACTGCAAGCACAAATAGAGAATCTCAACAACGGAAATCAAATCATTGAAGAATTGAGAGATCTCAAAGAAATTATTGCAGAAAAGGATTCAGAGATTAGCCTGTTGAAGAATCTATTGTATCACTCATTTAACGTAGAAAAACCGTTCGAGAAAGTAAATGTAAATGTTCCTGAAGATAAAATCAAACAAATTGAACAAAGTGCTGTTAAATTTTCTGCACCTTTATGGAACATGCTTAGCAAATTCCTTCGTTATTTCTGTGATGAAAATACTTGTAATAAGATTCTAGAAAAACAAAATTTTGCAAAATATTCTGTTAATTTGTTTGAATTATCGCTTACACTGGGATACTTTAGTGCGAGATTGTTCTTTTATGTTGATAAAAATCTAAAATAACTCATCTAAAGTTTAAAATAAACAAAAATATCCGAAATATTTATTTAGTAACATTTTTATGATATGAAATACGTACACTATAACAATTTGTGTTTAGTGATGCACTTATGTCAATTTTTTCTGAGTTAAATAACTCATAATTACTTCTTTTTTCATTTAATTAGCCGCTTTGAATCTGAATATTAGTGTACTATAAGTTTGTAGTTGCAGAATAATTGGTTATTTGGTTAATTTCCTTGAAATTCGTTTGTTACGTCATTCTGTCTAAATATACGAGTATTTGAACGCTATATGAAATGTATATGTAATGAACGATGTTAAATTCATGGCCTAAATAGAACATTTGAAAATAAAATATTAAAAAAAAAATTATTGTCATAGTTAATTAGAACATCATACAAACAAAACAAACATTTATGATAAAACTAAAGAAAACTATATAAAAGATTCATCAGTCACGCTTGCACGCCTGGTCATTGGAGGATCTTTCATTCTCATTGAAGCTCCGATTCGTTTATGGATTACGCGAACCGATTGTCGTCCGGACTCCTGAAGAAGAGTACGGCGATTCTGAACAACGTGAGTTGAGCAGAAATTTCTCGTCTGATCTTGAATCCACGGATGGGTCAAGACCTCCTTTGCGGTACATCTCATTTCGGGTTGTGGGACCATGAGTTCTCCAATTAATTTTGCAGCAATTGGATTAATATTTTCTGGAATGTGAAAGCGTGCAGTTCGAATCTGGAAGAAAAGCTGTGTCTCATTTGTAGAAGATTCCCAAGGAATCTTTCCTGTAAGCATAACAAACAAAATTACGCCAACTGACCACATATCTGCCATTTTACCATCATATTCGGGTTGGGTAATAATTTCTGGTGCAGTATATATAGGAGAGCCGCATTTTGTTTTCATTAGTTGGTTGCCAACAGTTTCCCTTGAAAAACCAAAGTCTGCAAGTTTAACTGTCATGTCTTTTTCGAGCAAAATGTTTTCCGGTTTCAAATCTCTGTGGGCTATGTTAAGAGAATGAAGGTAATCAACGGCGGAAATAATCTGTTTGAAAATTGCTTTTGCTTGATATTCGGAAAAAGGTCCATGATCAGCGATATAGCCGTGCAGATCACCTGCATCGCAGAGAGTCATGATCATGTAAATCAGTTTTTCGTCTGAAAGGAAATCTATTAATCTCAGAATATTTGGGTGGTCTAATTTTCCGAAATTTTCAACTTCTCGTTTGAATGATTCTACAAGCTTATTCTCAATGAGGTATTCTTGAGAAATAACTTTGCATGCAAATTTTTCGCCGTCTGCAATCCTTGTAACAAGAACAACGACGGCAAATGAGCCTCGCCCAATGATTGATTCAAATCTATAACCAAAAAACTCATGGGGGACTGATAAAAGGCAATTTCGACCAATCAATTCTCCCATTTAAATTTTTGTTATTTTTTTGGGTTTACAACAGAATAATCGTTGAATGTATACAATTTGTGAGCAATATAAAAAATTACGTTTTTTCGATTTTACGCTTAAACGCTTTATTAATCAATAGGTAATAAGATGATGCGTTTTTGTCTATTCAATTTGCATAAAATAACTCAATTCATGTTCAAAAGAAAAAATAATGATGTATTTTATGCATATCTGTATTTTTTATCATATTTGTATTCCAAAAACTACTATTTCGAATTCAGATTCCTTCAATTGAATTTCATACATTCAGGTTGATAGCCTGTAAGAATAGCCTTTCAAATATAGTCATCGCAATCACTGGGAATAGATAATAGTTGTATTGATTCAAGAATTACTTCAAAATGCAGAAGTTCGGGGATGAAAATATTATCAGAATTCAAGCTGCGTTGAATTTTTGTAAATATCTGATGTCTCATTGGCGTTTGGGTTATTTATGCAAAATATTAAAAAGGTTTTGAATCCCCTCAATGTGTCTTCGATTATTTCACTTGAACTTTCTTTTCACTTTGATATTACTCTGAGTGTTAATGCCAAATTTGAACTCGGAAATTGCATGTAATCAATAATATAAGTGTTGTTTTATAAAATATTCTATTATCTATACATGAACATAAAGATATTAATTTTAAGTGTTATCCTATTAAAATGAACATGAAAACTAAGTATCACGTCTGATATATTCCAAAAATAATAATCCTTGTGGTAGCAATGTTCTTTCAACTTGAATCAGCAAGTCCAACCGTTATTTTTTATTATTTTTATAGTAAATAATCAAATTGCAAATATAATGTAAATTGGAAAAATATCAATGTTTATAGATATATTAAACTTGAAAACTTGTGTGAAACTTCATCTTAATAATATTTCATTAAGTAAAGCTATTATTGATGAGTTCGTTTAAAAAAATATCTCAGAAAATGCATGAAATCTTTGAGTTGTGCTTGAAGATTAAAATTTTAGAAAGTATCGCTCTAATTGAAAATGATTTGATATTGCCATTGTTATGGTTCATGAATAAATTTCTGAAGAATCAACTACCACATCATAAATTTTAAATTTTGTTGAAAGTTACATTGCCATAATCTCTGGAGTGTTATTTACCATGGTTTTGGACCTGCTCACAAAAGCGCTCTCAAATCAAAACCTTAGAATTTTCACTTAATTTTATGCTTAATTTAATCATCATATTGTTTATAGTATTATTGTTTATCATCGAAATTCTCCGTTCAATTTTTTGAGAGGACGAATTGATAAAGAGCTTGTATATTTTTGGATTCTGCTTTGCTAAGAAGAATCCTTTTGTTTTTTCTCCTAAAAAATTGAACTGAATAAAAAAGTTTTGCGGTCTGCTCTCAATTTTTTTTTAATTTTTCTGAGGTTCGCAGAAACTTTTTTATTTTGAGTTTATGAATAACTATTGATATGGAGAATTTGACCCATAAGATTGTGTAATAATGGTATATATAGCGTTAAAATGAAAGGAGATCCAACCGCAAAAATTGAATGATGGGAAGATTTTGGTGATCTTTATTATCTCACTATTTAGTTTCTTTTTCTGTAATAACGGTTAAATTTAGAAAATTTTTGTAAGCTTTTGAAATGTTGACACTTGCCATGTAAACATTCATATTCTTCAATAAATTGATGAACAGTCTCCTATTTACATTAGCAATTTCAAATTATCAAAATCTTATTGAAAAGGCCAAAATAAGTGCAAAATCAAGAGCATTACGCGCAGGTCAAGCACTGCAAGATTTAGAGCCAAAGACGTATAAAGATAGCGGATATGAATATACAATACGTTATGGCGTCACAGGTGATTTATCAGAAGATGTCCTTGGCTTTGCAAAGGAGCAGTCCACAATTGCTATTGTCGAGAAAGATTCAGAAAATTCAAAAGTAAATAAAGTTTTCGCTAACTCAGAAAAGCAAAAAATGTATTTATTAACAGAAGTTTTAGAACAAGAAGACAATGTTAAGGTTTACAAGATCCAAAAAGTTGACGCATTAGATTTAATTTCAAGAATTAGTTTTTCATCCAAGGATGATCCAATTTTCCAGAAGGAAGTTGAAGTAGGCTACAAGTGGAACAAAAATGGTGATCCGTTCGTCAATGGTCGCCCTGAGTATTTCTACAGTACTTCAAATCTCCAGATTGGTGCAGGTACTTATGCCAGAGCCAAGGTCTCAATCGTTCTTGACATCGTCCTCCGTTCATTATCCTTAACGGCAACACTCAACGTTAAAGCTATTGTTGGTGCCCAAGTTCATATCCAAGGCTACCACTATCATTTGAAAACATTGAGTATCTTCAAGGGCAACTACAATATTCCAAACGGCATTTCCTTCAAGATCTTTGGAATTGGTGTTGGATTAACAACAGATATCATCACAGACTTAGCCGTTGACGATATTGACTTAAACATCCCAGTCGATTTCACCTACTACAGAGGCTACATCGTTGAAGCCGAGAAGACAGTCTCTGTCACCACAGGAAAAGGTTTCATCGACGGACCAGTCAATTTCTCAATGACCCCAGTCAAGTCCGACACAACACTTGGAGACCTGAAGACACAACTCCTTGCTTCCACCTTCGAATTGACACCACGTCTCAAAGTTGGCCTTGAAATTTCCTTGACAGCCGGTTTAGTCAAGTACTTAGACACCACAGTCACAGTTATCCCATATGTTCCAATCAAGTTCGGCTTCGACAAGGAGGAATGCGCCTCTCCATACCTCTACGGCTCCATTCAGCCTAAATTAGACCTGAGATTCCAGTTTGATGGCTTTGAGATCAAGAACTTCAAGATTCTTCCCAAGTACGACAAGACATGGAACCTCTGGCAGTCCAGGAAGATCATGATGTGCCTTGTCGATCCATTCCGTGGCGAGGAAACATCATCACAGTACTCGTACACAACAGATTTGACATCGTACGTTTTGAATCCAACTCTCTCCATCAACGGCTACACATTCACACACCCAATGCACATTGTTGAGCTCCAAGCTGTGTCCGGCAGCTCCGTTCTCAGCCAGACAGTCATTCCATGGCAGGAGATTCCGAAGTACCCGCAGTCAGTCCACCCAGGAAAGTTCTTAGTTGTCACCGACCCACCTAAAGGCTTCATCTGGCGCTTCAAGGCCAAGCAGGCTAACAACTACATCCTGTTCAAGTCTTACACCAACATGAAGACAGACTTCACAGACATCATGAGCAAGAACTTGATCAGAATCAAAGAGGACGACTCAGAGAACTCCGCTGGCATAATTGTCCATCCAAACACAATTGCAGGAAGGACAATTCCTCTCGGAAAGGAGTACAAGGTCTCTGACGAAGACAAGTTCGTTGCATTCAACGCACACTTCGACGGCGAGTACACTTTGTTGCAGAGATACGCAAACAAGGAGTTCGCTGTCAAGTCAAACCACTTCATGACAAGTGCAATTGCATCAGAAAACGACACTTACAACGACTTCAAGCAGATTGCCACAAAGACAGGCTACTACTGCAAGGTCTCCTTCAATAAGATGACAGTCACAAAGTCATTCGGCAGCAAAGGCATCCACTTCAGAGTCAACAGATTGATTGGCTACAGCAGATATCCAACTGCATCATTCATTTTAGGAAAGCTCGACAAAAATCAGCAGATTGTCGACACTCCAGCAGGAACTTACTACGGAAAGGACTTAGGAATGAGCGACTGGAACTTCGTCTACCACTCAGTTGAGAATTCCGAGTTTGAGTTCGTTGTTTCTGTCAACGGAGGAGCAGACAAGACAACTAAGTTATCTCATGCAACAATTGTCAAATCCGGATCAGTCACAATCACTTTTGACGGCATTTCCATTGTTTTCAACCTCAAACAGGTCGATGTTTCTGTCTTCGCCGACGTTCCTAAGTCAGTCAAGGCGATCATCCCTGTCCTCGTCAAGGATGTCATCAGCACAAACGGCTTGTTCACAACCAACTCTATGGACGGAATCGGAAACTACTTTGTTGTTAAGTGCCACCTCGGACAGGGCAGAAACCAGATTCCAAAGAGAGGAAAGCAGATCCCATACCTCCCAATCTATTCCGATGGATTCACTCCTGTAACAGAGCACATCGTCATCGACGACAAGTTCTTCCTCGTCAGAATCACTGCTGGCATGTTCCCATTCGCTGCAAACGACATCTACATCCCAATGAGAGCAAACCCAGGAAAGATGGCAAGAAAGCTCCAGCTCTATGAACCATTCATTTCCGATGTAAATGGCGGATACGACTACGACATCGACGAAATGTTCGTGACATCGTTCAAGCCAGCCATCATCGTCAAGGAAGGCCAGTACTGCTCAATCCACGACGGAACAACAAGCGGCCAGTTCAAGGTCTACAAACTCGCAAATGTCAAAATCACTGATGATTATTCAATTGTTTACGCTCCTATTTTTGAGGATTCTTCAGTCACTTTTGTCCAAACATACTTTGACATTCACGAGAACGTTTCCAGTGTTGACTTCCGCACTCCAAGTGCCCTTGAGAACATCCTTGAGTTAGTCCATTACCAGTTCAATTCCAAGAGAGCATCTAAGGGCTTCCTCTTCAACTCCAACGGAAAGAAGATGATGTCATTCGACTTCGATAAGAAACTCTGGTCACCACAGCCATGGACAACATACACTTTAGTTCCAATCTGCAACAACGAAGAAGACAGCTTCTGCGCAATCCCTCTCACATTCAAACCACACACAATCACTTACTTGACTTACGAGCACCCAGATGGTTTGAACTCATACGAAGAGGACATCATGAAGTTCCAGAGAGGCGTCATCGGAGAGCAGATTGTCAACTCCGGCGACAGCGAAATCACTGTTGATGTCTGGAAGACATGGAAAGGAAAGATCCAGATCGACATCTCCAACTACGGCGAGTACGACTTAGAAATAACAAGAGACAGCGACAAACTCGACAACATCACTTTCGCTGCAACAATGAACAAGAAGAAGATCAGAGCTGACCAGAACTACGTCTCAGACAACTTCGACAACGTCATCAAGGCATTGGGTGTCACAGGACGCGCTCAGTACGTCAACTTGAATGACAAGGAATTCGCTTTGTCCTTCCCAAGAAGCGAGTTCTCTCCATCAGACTACGAAGAGGACTGCTCAAAGATCGCACCAATCTTCGGATTGGACGCCGAGAAATGCAAGTCCATCAAGTACACATCCAAGTTCGGAAAGATTACATACGACGACGTCGACAACAAGGAGAAAGGCGAGGATATCAATGGAAGAAAGAAGTCAGTCTGGATCGTTTTGACTGTTGTTGGATGCGCTGTCGTCGCTGCTGCAGTCATCGTCGCTGGAATAGTCCTGATCAGAAGGAAGAGGAAACAGTTCAAGGAGGTTTCGACTGAATCTTTAGTTTCACCAATGATTATTTAAATAAATTATATATTTATTTAATCGCTTCAAATAAACAATTTCAATTTTACTCCAACAAACATTTTTTTTAAATTAATATGAATTACTTTTCTGTAATACATGCAAGAGTAGTGGGTAGATGTCATGTAATGTTCAAGAAAATTCGTATATTCAATGATGAATAGAAAAAATATATGGAAAATTTATAAAATTTATTCGAAATATAGTTTTAAAACGTTGTGTGGATATTTTGCATAGAGTTAAAATCGATCGGAGGAATAAAAATGATCAAAAATTTTTAAAAAGTGACAAAATGTTGAGTGTTTCAAAAGCAACTTTTTCTCTTGATGAAGTCTTCAAAATTTTAGATGATGATAAGGAGAAAGATAAAATAGGCAAGATCTGCCAAACAATTCATGGCCAATTATTAGATCCTCAAGATATAGTTAAATTATTTGAGAATTCCAAAGAAAAATTGGATAATAACCAGCTCATGCAAATTTTCAAGAACGTACAAATTGGTTCTAAATACGAATTCAAGAGTTTAATTGATCTGATTAATACATTTCGTAACGTTCTTGATTTACCTGTTTTTGATTATTTTCGCAACTTCTTTTCCATCCTTTTATCAGACTTAGATGAAACATCCGATGCTGTTAAGCATTGTAAGCATCAAATAGCAAAATTAAGAAATCAGATTCAATCTAAAGAAGAAGAACTCAAAAAACTAAGTAGAACTATCGCAATGCAATCTAAACAGATCGAAGAACAGAGAAAATGTGCATTACGTGTTGCTCAATTAGAAAAAGAGATTTTAGCAATTCGTGACGGCACGGAAGCACCAATACTTCAAGATATCAAATTCTTTGTTCTGAGCTCGCTTAATATAAATAAAAACCCAACAAAATATTTCAAATTATTCGAAGATTATACATTGTACCCGAATTTGATTCCAAAAGCTATTAAGGAAAACCTAATTACATACCAGGACAACGACGTGCCGTACAGCCTCTTACTTGAAGCAATTCGTCAAGGAGATGCCAAATTAACCAGAGAATTAATCTCCAACGGCGCAAGTCTCGATGTCAAGGACTACATGGGCAGTACTCCGCTCCACGTCGCAATCAACAGCGGAAATATGGAGGTTTGCCAAATTATTTTATCAAAATACAAGAAGATTGACATAAATGCTCAAGATAATTTCGGAAACACACCCCTCCACCTGGCTTCCATGTACGGAATAGCTCCAATCATTGACACTCTCTGTAACTGTCCAAAAATCAAATTAGACATCAAAAACTCACAAGGAAAGACTCCTTTGGATTGCGTTTCGTTGGATGATGGCGGATTATGTCAGGCAATTCTCATTGCGTTTGGAGACTAAAAAAAATTTAATTTTGTAAATAATTAATATATTTTAAATATAAATAAATAATATATTAATTAAAATTATGAAAACTTCTTGATAATTTTTTTTATATAAAAATTTCAAAGATTTAGTCGGGAACAGGACAAATTTGCCACACGGCACTTTTTTTAAAAAAAATTAATGGAGCGGAGCGATACTCTGCTGCAGGAGCCCCAAGGCTCCCAATCATTACGAAAGGGAGCCTCAGGGCTCCTGAGAATCCATCAGCAGAGGCCTTTTCATTTGGCCTCTGCTGATCAAAGATTCGGCGAAGCCATTCTTCGTCTCAGGAGCCCCAAGGCTCCCAATCATTACGAAAGGGAGCCTCAGGGCTCCTGAGAAACCTCTTTGAGAAGGTTTTCTTAAAGAAAACCTTCTCAAAGATGATTGTCAGCATTCACTCAAAATCTACCAAGAGTTTCAAAGTTTCAAATCTATCTGAAATGAAGCTTTGAATCTCTTGTATATCTAATTGTAGAGGTACCTTTTCAAAATGTCTTCTATTGATTAAATTTAATCAGTAAAAGTCATTTTGAAAAGGTACATCTCTATAATTGCTATTGAGCATTCACTCTTGGAACCTTGGAGCTCTTGTGTAGTGCATGAAAACTCCAAGATTCTAGCATAAAACATATATCATAGACATAATTTCTTCAAATATAATTTAAGGTTATTTTTAAAAAAATTAGAAAAGCGTAATTTAGGGTTATTGAAAAGGTGACGGTTGGCAAATTTGTCCCGCACTCGATTTAGTCTAATATCTTCATGTTTTTATTATACTGTTCGTTGTTTTCATTGTTCATTATGAAATATTTGATTGGAATTCGATAAGATCAAAATAATAGTTTATTTTCTAAGGCCTTTGCCCTTTCCGCTTGGCTTTGATAAGCCTAATGTATCAATAAAGTTAGAAATTTCAATGCGTGTCTTTCTAAGTTCGTATTGAACAACATTGTATCTGTATTGAACTTGTTTTTCTATTAAAGCATCATCTTCCTCCTGGAAATCAAGAGAGAAGATTGGTACATCCTTAAATTTAAGAGGCATGACTATATTTAACTGTAATAAGTCGTTGGTTGGGATTTCGAACTCAACATTATATTCATCTTTCTCTAAAGCCGCTTTATTTAAGATTTCTATCATAATTGTTGGGAAATCTTCGAACGATATCTTTAAACTTTCTTTGTTCTTTAATGTTTCGAATGATTCTTCGTCATATTCAACAGAATATAGGAAGAAAACGTTTTCTTGTTGTGAAATTTCAAATCTGATTGTTTCTAATTTGTCGTCATCATCTCTAAAAGTAAATATCTTGATAATTGTTGGGCGAAGCTGAATTTCATTTTCAGCTTTGTTATGGAACTTGAAATTGATCTCCTTTGAATATATCAACTTCTCTCCTGGTTTAAGAGATGGGTCTTGGAGAGGATCTTCCATATTTATGTTGCCGTTAGTTTACAAAACTCTTTTCAACTTTTATCGGCGCGCGGCATATCTGCGCACCGATATGATGTGATATATATCATCGACAAATATTTGAAAAAACTTAATTATATCTGTTTATAATAATAAACTTAAATATTTTTATAATAATCTCATAAATCTTTGAAATGCTGGACTGTTTGTTGTTTGACTAAAATTAATATTGATTTTGAATTTTTACTATTACAATCATTAAAATTACCATTTTTTCATCTATTTTTTGCAATTTTTTTTCCCCGGCAATAAGTATATAATAAAGCATTTTAATATATTCCTCATCTTATTATCAAGGTCGAATTTTAAAAAACTTGATTTCCTACGATGAAATCATGCAATTATGTGTAAATTTTCATGCCCTGCAGTCAAAAGTTGTACATATAGTGACAACTCCACTGTCTTGGGTCAAATCTTCATTTAAGTGCCACTTTTATGCACTTTTTTCAGCAATTTTCGAATTTGGCATCCCCGTAATTTCAAAAACTCTGCCCCTCCATGTTATGGCATGGTTGAGAGGATTAAAATCTCATGCTCCCAAATTTGGTGCCTGTCAGCAGACCTCTGTTTGCCAAAATCCGGTTTGTTTCAAACCATCAGCAATACTCTCAAATTTTTCTTACAATCGAATTTTTGGGAATATAATCCTTATTAGAAATCGAAAGATATTGGATCCAAATATAATATATATGTTTGGAAGAAAAAATTCAATGAATTAATTTTATTTTAATTTTTTTTTAATGTATCATATTCAATATCTGATTTTCATTTTATTTCCCGATTGAATTAATAGAAAAATTTCTGTTTCATTCAAATTTAAAGAAGCGATTTTGATACAATTGTTATATAAAAAGTGTGAATGAAAAAGAAACTAAAATATCAGTTGTTACTTTTTGAATTTTTAATTCAAAAATTCACACGGATATTTCTAATTTATTTCTCTAATCACTTCACATATTACCAAATGTTCATATCTTTAATATATCTTTCGCTTTCCCAGCGCATTTCCCATGGTCGTGGTACTATTAATTTTGAAAATAGTAAAACCATTGAAGTTGACATCGAACTAAAAACACAACATGATGGTCAAAATTATTTGGTTGTGTTAAACTCTAATGAGTTTGTTGACTTACCAACAGTTCAAATTGTATTTGGTGGCAGAATTACAATTACTAAATCTGATGAATCTGTTACCACACTCTTTTATTATTTAGGTGAATTCCAAAAAACTTATGAAATTCCAGAATTCATTATTGGGTTCAATCCAGCACCATTTATCCCAGTAGATGTTGGAGCTGCTGAATCGATTACACACAAGATTGTTCTTTTACCCACAATTGCTGGCATGACATATTACTTTGAAGTTCCCGAGACTCCTGATATTCGTTACAAAATGTCTGGAGGACAGACAGAAAAAAATATTGTAAATAATATACCAATTCATGTAGATTCAGGTGATTATGCTACAATAAGTATACATGCAACCGGTAAACCAATAGATTTTAAAATTTACAAGATGATATTGAATGAGACAGCTGTTAAATCAATGGTCTTCCAATATGGTGGATTCGTCACTGAAACCCATGCAAAATTCTTCAGTAATACAAATTTCGAATCAATTAAGCCAGAATTCCCAACAAAGCTTCGATGGGGTATAAACGATCTCTACTTCAAATCTTCAACAAGTTACGATTTGACACTTCCAAATGAATCTGTCTTGGTTTTGGCTAAGACAAATGGTATGACAGGATTTTCAGGATCTTATTCCAGTGATACATCATATGCTGATTTTACCGATGACACACTCGCTATTGTTGCAAATTCTGAAACCAAATTCAAAATTAAATCAACAACTTATCCGACACTCAGAGTAATTCTTTTCAACATCAAAGATATTGATTACCATCAGAACAGCTCTTTTGTTTTACAATCTAATGATTATCATATAATGAATAGCATTGATGAAAAGTATCATGCTGTTTTCATCGTAAATCCTGCAGGGGCTAAAGCTGGAGTAATGAATCATGATGGATATGAAATTACAACATACACATCAGATGGAGCCAAAGTTACAATAAACGCGGATGATGATCCATTCATTATATGCCTTAAAGAAATGAGCTCAGAAGAGAAAAAGAAGCTCCAAATAGATTTCGTTCCATCTGTTTATAATTCAGCCTACGTTGGTAGTTTCAAGACCACGGATAAAAAATATGTATTTGAATCCGGCCTTTACACTAAGGAAAATCCAGATAAAAAAGGTGGCCTAAGCCCAGGTGCCACAGCTGCAATAGTGGTTGTTGTTCTTCTTATCGTAATCGCTGTGGTCGCTGTTCTCGTTTGGTTCTTCGTTTTTAGGAAGAAGAAAGATCAAAATTCTGGAAGCGGCGAGAACGCTTAAATAAACCCAAAAAACCAATTTCATTTCTTCAAATAATTTATAATAAAGAAAATGATTATATTTTCATTATACTATGCATGCTCTAACTATTTTTCATAATATTGAAAAAAAAAAAAAAAAAAAAAAAAAAAAAAGGTAGTGGGGCTTCCAGGCACTTCGTGCCTTCTAGCCCTGAGGATGAATGAGTATAAATGAAGTCTCAACAAAGTCTTTACGAAGAAGTCTCAACAAAGTCTTTACGAAGAAGTCTTGACAAAACATTTACAAAGAAGTCTTTACAAAGTCTTTACAAAGTCTTTACAAAGTCTTTACGAAGAACTTTACAAAACATAGACAAGAAAGTCTTTACGAAGAAGTCTTGACAAAGTCTTTACAAAACATAGACAAGAAAGTTCATGAGAAATTAGATGAAGAAGTCTCAACAAAACATAGACAATGAGCGTAAATGACCCAAAAATATATTTTAGGGTAGAAGGGTATATCTACCCTCTTTTCTACCCTCTTTTCTACCCTCTTGAATTTTCATGAACTTTCTTTACAAAGTCTTTACGAAGAAGTCTCAACAAAGTCTTTACGAAGAAGTCTCAACAAAGTCTTTACGAAGAAGTCTTGACAAAGTCTTTACGAAGAAATTCATGAAAATTCAAGAGGGTAGAAAAGAGGGTAGAAAACGGGGTAGATATACCCTTCTACCCTAAAATATATTTTTGGGTCATTTACACTCATTTACGAAGAAATCTCAACAAAGTCTTTACGAAGAAGTCACAATAAAACATCTGTCAAAAACCGCTTTTTAACTTCACTTAAAATGCCACGTAAGCTACGTAAGAATATACGTAAGAGGAAGGGAGCATTGAAACATCCAATAGTAAGACTGACACCACAACAACAGTTGCAACAACAAATGATGAATGACCCCACTATGTTGCAACAAATGTCAAGCAATCCTATGCTTTTAAACCGAGTTGTTGGTGCACAGAGTGGAGGTTTAAGAGCGGCACTTTTAGCGAAAATGGCAGGCTATGGTGGAGCTGCAGACGGAACAGCATATAACCCTCAAAGTCAAATGAATTTGAGTTCACTCAAAAATCAAATAACAGATGTCAAAAAGTCAAACATAGACATACAGAAACAAATAGGTGAAAACGAAAAGAAACTAGAATATGACAGACACACAAAGAAACTCAATGAGTTAAACGTAGAGAAAAAGAAGAAAGAAGAACAACTGAAAGAACTAAGTACAGAGGAATATGCGAAAAAAGTGTCAGAAAAAGCAGCAGAAGTAGCAAAAATGGAACAAGATGTTGTAAATTTGAAAAACCATACTACTCAATATAAAATACTGAAAGATGAAGAGATAAAACAAAAAGCCATGAAGACATATATGGATAGCGATGAGTATAAAAAAGAAGTTGAAGCAAATGTAAAGGCAGAAAAACTTTTACAGTTGCAAAACCAAACCGTACAGTATGAAAACTTAGCACAAGAAAGTAAAAATAACGACGCAGCCATGCAAAAGGCAATGAAAAGCGCAGAATATATAAAAGCTAACAATGACTGGTTAGATACCCAAGCCAACGCTAAAGCAGCCCAACTTATAGGGTCAATAAGGACAAAAATACAAGCGGATGAAGACAGTTCAAATGAAGCTTTAATGAATGCTGACTTTAAGAACGCCTTCGAAGCTCTTCATAGTAAGGTGAAACAAGTGAACGACTTCTCATCTGGAAAGAAACTGAAGTCTGAAGGTTTCGACAAAGAGTTAAAAGAAGTAGCACAAAATATGACGAAAATAACAGATGCAGCAACGAGACAGGCAGTTCAAAGTGCCTATGACGCCGTTAGAGCAACTGTTGTGGAAAGTCAAGAAAAAGAGTTACAACAGACCAAAACAGACCTAGTAAATGCTTTCTTAAAAACGAAAAGTCAGGTAGGACATTACGCTGCAGATGGAACATATGTGCCAGCTGGTGGAACTTATATACCAGCTGTTGGAATTTATATACCACCAAACCCTCCAAGAGAAGCACCTGCACCAGGACTACCTAAAACATTTACATCGTCACATGGACATAGACACAGGCATGCACCAAAACCAACACAACAACCAACACAACAACCAGCACAACAACCACCTCCACAACCAACACAACAACCAACAGTTCAAAACCCTGCACAACAACAACCACAAACAGAGCAAGGACATAAAAGAAGTAGAGAACAAGGAAACCAAGAATTCTTAAAAATGCTTAAAGAAGAGTGTGGTTTCCCAGATACTGTTGACTTTAGTGACAGATATAAAGAAGCTATTAGAAAGTTCAAGGATGGAAATACTGACCCGAACCTATTTAGCTTTATGGCTCAGCACCAAAACGGATATAATCTCAAACCTGGAAAATACAAGCTCGCTAAGGGATATGATTTAATAGCATATCATCCAAATGACATGGATGAATTTACTCCGAGATATTTGATGTCAGAGCTAAATGACAATTCAACTTTCGTCATGAAACGCGTAAAAAATAGAGACGGAACGAAAGAACAAAAGCTTATGAATGCGGATGACGTAGATAGGGAAATTGTTAAAAATGGTCTCGGAATATATGAAATGCCAGCAGATGAGGTACAAGAAACTCAACAGGAAGAAGTTCAGATACAACCAGACATGGAAGAAATAGTTCAGCAACAACAGCTAGAAGAGCCTGAAGGAAACGAACAAGTCACTCCTTTGGAAACTAACTTCACAGAACTAGATGAAGATTTGGAACAGCCGAAAAATCTTGACCCTCAACAAGTGTATGCGGAGAATATGGAATCTTTCCAAGAGTCTAAGAAAGATTCGGCTGACATAGTAGAAGAATATCGAAAAATGTTTGCCGACATACAAAAGACTCCAACACCAGATGAAAATATTCAGCATAGAATGAAAGTACTGAAAGAAAATGTACACAAATACAACAACCCTTTTTACTTACGAGCATTTAACGTTCAATCTTCGGATGAACTCGGTGAAAATAAAAGGTTAAATTTCAAGAAAACATATAGAAATGAAACATTGTTTAAAGTTCATTCAGAACCTAGCCAATATGGAAACAAACCTACTTTTGTTTCTGCAGACGATGGAACTACAATGAGATGGGGTCATAAAGCTAATCCAGATAGGTGGTTCATAAACTTACAACCTCAATTCCAAGAAGTTGTAGACGCAATGGAAGTGAATGGTGAACCAGATGTAGCTGGTATTTTCAGCGCGGCTTTAATGCCATTGAAAGATATGAAAGATGCAGATATTTTGAACCAGTATGAAATGAACATGGCTGATGGAAATATAACACCTGACGTTCTAGAACATTTATCTCAAAGAACTACACAGAACCATAGAGATGGTATATTTGGTGAAGAGTTTAGAAAGAAAGTTAGGGAGAGCGAAGGAAGAGAACCTATTGTACATGACCTTGCAAACGAAAGTTTGCAAAATGTCATAAAAACTTACTTTGCAGACAATGAACTGAGAAGGGATGAATATTTAAGAAAACTCAAATGGACAGTACCAAATGAAATGTTAGTATTGAAAAACATGTTCCTTGACAAAATAAAACCAACTACAGAAATAAACGACGCAAGACTGAAAGATTGGGTAAAAGCTTTCCCATTCACAAAAGATATTGTTGGTAACATGGAAAGAAAACCAGAATGGCTACAAAAACATATATTTGGAAACGAGCATATTCCATATGGACAGGCACTGTTTGAAGAGCTTGAACCGGAAACTCAGAAAAGAGTCATGCAAACAATAAGCGACGACTCAAATACAAACTATGACAAACTCTTTCTAGGATATAGGTTACCTGAGATGGGCGACCAGAGCCAAAAGGCAAAAAGGACATGGGAAATTTGCAACATACTAGATGAACATAATGCAAAGATGCAACAACTTCAAGCAGAGGGCAATGAAGGAAAAAGAAGAGTTAAAAACTCAGTCAGGAAGAAAGTAAAGCTTGGTCCACGTGGGTTCTATTATGACATATAAATCCAACTATTCTATATTTTTACTCATATGAAATGTACGCCGCTCAGAATATAACGCCAACAGTTTTGGATGCTATGAATGGAAATGTTTCCGAATGGTATAACGAATGCGACAATGCCATTAGAAGGTCAGAAATAGTTCCTGGAACTTACGAATATACAACTGCTGTTTCTTATGGAAACGTAGGTGAGTTTGGAGAAGGTTCTTCAACAACAGTAGATATTGCTTGCGACAGGTTTCATATAATTTCTATTGACAACTCTTTCTTATACGTGGAACAAGACATTGAAATAAAACCTTCTGCCAAGTTGTCTGACAAGAAAGGTTGCAATGGAATTTTCTATGTCGGATACCAATATGCTCCAGAAGTTTTCATGGGATATAAGATATATTCTAACTCTGACTTAGTTCAAACAGTAACATGGGCAAACTATGAATGGTTCGCTTTGAGAAACTCAGTACAACCACAAGCTAGAGAACAAACAGACCAGTATGCAACTATTGAGAAAATAAGAAGACTTGACCCTAACGTTCCAGGAGTTTATGTTAACCTTTCTGGACAAACTGCAGCAGCAGTAACCAAAGTAAAACTGAAACTTAGAGTTCCTTTGTCATCTTTCCTCATCTTCAGGTTTTTAAGATACTTGCCAAACTGGGCAGGAAAAATTTCTATTGAACTTACTCCAAGCAAAAATAACTTAGTCATTGCACCAACACAAGACCCATTCACTCTTACAGAAGTAGTGGGAACAAATAAAACGTCATTCGCCGACTTTTGCAAAAACAAAGTTGACTTAGACTTTGGTTTCTCAAACCTCAACACTGAAGTAAACTATTATTTCAATGCTGCTGGAGATGCTTGGGACCCAGTTAAGTTCACATGCGAAAAATTTGAATGCAAGAGAATAGAAAGCAGACTTGCAGTCTATATGTTGGACCCAGATATTTCAAATGCTTTAGCTGCCAAATATATTGCAGTTCCACTTATGTTCCCTATACACCAAATATCTGTCAAAGACTTTGCAGGTGAAGTTGGAAACCAAAGTGCTGACCCAGGTGCAAGAACAGATATTGCCTTAACAACTGCAATGAAACATGCAGATACTATGTTTGTACTGTTCAGACGAACTAAATGACTATTCTTGTTTCTACAACCCTGGTATTAAATATCATATAAACATAGATGGCAAATACTATCCAAGAGAAGAATATTCTACAGTTGAGGATATGAGGTCATACAACTTGACATTAGATGCTATGAACTTTAACAACAACTTCACAACAACCATTAACCCTGAAATGCAAAGTTCTATTATGCCATATGTGAAAGTATGGACTCATACAGGAGCTCAAAAAACTCAATATACAAATGGAGACCGTTCAAACTTTTGGCTTGGCATTCCATTTGCTGACTCAGAAGACTTTATGGGTGGTATTTCAACTGTTGGTACAGTTCAAATACAATATACTGGTGACAGAGACGGTCCAGATGAACTGAAAGCAAAGAAGTTTACAAAACCAATAGCACTTTTCACGGAAGATGCTCTTTTGAAGATTCGTTCGATGAAACCTGCTGGGGCTCCTCAGATTGGTATAACGACAGCTTCCATCGAGCAGATTTTGGCAGCAGGTCAGTAAGTTGTTCTTGAACTGACTTCTCTCCGTCAAATATTGACAGTACGCCAGTTTTGACATAATATTGTATTATAAACTTACCTTTAGAAATATCTGTAAGTTTTTTGTTATATTTTTGTCTGCTTCAAGAACTTTCACCATCTCGGTTATACCAACTTTCTTTGCTTTATGAAATATTTTGGTTCAGCAAAGACTGCTATTCTATAACATTTTCCATTGTTTGTATAAAGAACTATTCTGTCAATGTATTTGTATTGTTTGTGTGTGTAAACTTTGTTCTGCTTCAATTCGAAGAGATACTCAAATACGTCCATCTTTTTATTCTAAGTAAAATGTCATTTCCGAAAAATAGAAGCGTAAGTGTTTCAAAAGGTTTAATGGCGGTGGCAGATGTGAAGTTAAATTCACCAACTCAAACAAACAGTCAAAGTGTTGTTGTCAATGTCAAAGAAAGAGATGTTGAAGTGGGGAAACCATACGAAGACGAAAGATGGTATAACAATAGTTCCTGTAAAAGAACAACCAACATATCCTGAAGTTAGCAGAGACTTAAGTTCTGTTGCAGATATTCGAAACGACTACCAACAACTTAAAGACAAACTTAAAACTCAGGAGAAAGATTTGTCAAGCTTTGGGTATAATGTTAAACTTGGTCGAACACAACCCTGTAAAAGTGAACTCATATGTCATTGCACCTCATGAAGTTTTGAAAGAACTATTGAAACTTTTGACAGAGGCAGACGATATAAACATCAAAGAATAGAACCCGACGTTAGTTGCTGTGGTGTTTCATATAATGTCATTGACAAGATATACGTTATGAAAGGAGGTGAAACGTTGAACTTAAAATATAGTTTCCCAGACGTCATAAAAAATATTTGACGACCACAACATTTCATTAAAATTTAGTTGCTAAGTAAATGGCAGAAGACATAGTGGTTTATACTATTACGACTAAAAACCCTGAGTCATATAATTCTATAACAACAAACTTACAAAGTCCTCAAGGACGATATGTAAACTGACCTTAAACACGATGACGACTAAAGCCTGTTTTGCTCTTTTGAACCAGAAGACTTTGTTGTTGTGAATGGTAAAAAATACTTCTTTGAAGATACTTACTCAGATATACCACCAACAGGTTTTTTGACTTATTTAATACTTTAAGGACGGATGTAACATGTGCTGCAACTAGAGCAGGTTTCATTATGTTTGGATGTCCGACTGAGTTTAGTATAAACGATATGAGCTATAATACAAAACTTATATCTGGTTTTTACTACCAACAGTTTCCTATAACAGGAAAAGGTGTCATACAAGGAATGTCTATTCCATTGACTTTAAGTACACCTATTTTAATATATTGTTTCAAACTTAGGTTCAAAGTGCTATTCGAATGTCGACAGAAACTACTATGACCAAAAGATACTCATGCGTATAAACAACACTTTCTCTGCTGGTTTGCCTATTGTTCATTCGAATGCAGAGTTTTCAGCTTTAGTAAACTCAAACACTTTAGCAAACATAAACTTAACCTTAGTTGACGCAAACTTTGTTCCTGTAAAACTTTTATGTCCTATGTATTTGTCAATGACGGCAGAAAGTTTCGAATTGGAAGATGCAACTGGTGAAAGTATTGTACTACAAGAACAACTTCAACAACAAATAGCTCAAGAACAACAAATGCAACAAATGGAACAAATGGAACAAAGTCAAGAATAAAAAAAAATATTTTTTTTTATTTTTATAAAAATGTACAGAATAGACGTTTCAGATTTTTATGACTTCCAAGCCTTCAGAAATATGTGTCCATTTAGAGACTATAACAAAGCAGTCGAGAATTTGAAACGTTTAGTCATTTATGTCGACTCTGCCCAGAATGTTATGTCATGAAAGAATGGATGTTGTCTTTAACAAACCAAGAGCGACAATAGTTTCAGAACAAGAATGTAGACAGAAACTTAAGAAAATAAAAGTCGTACAAGTTGGTATGAAGATGTTAGATGCTTGGGAATCTTATTGTCAATTAGAAGATATTTTCAGTTCGTGGTATAAAGTTCTATACACCATCTCCAAACTTCTATTCTATCTTCACTGGATATAAATACGAACAAGTAGAATGGAAAGAAAATGTTATAGAAGCTTGGTTAGACCATGTCAAAGAAATTATATGCAATGGAAACGAAAGAGTCTATGAGTATATCTTATGTTGGTTTGCAAACATCTTACAACATCCAAGTGCTAAAAATGAAACTGCTCTCATTATAATTGGAAAACAAGGAACTGGTAAGAACACTTTCTTTACAGATATCTTATGCAAACTGTTAGAGGGCTATTCGAACCCGAATATGACAAACTTAGAAAACATCTGCGGTAAATTTAACTCTTCAATAGAGAATATGAAACTTATAGTATGTAACGAACTTCAAAGTATAGATACAACAAAGGTTTTAAACTCAGATGCTTTGAAGAGTCTTATAACAGACAAAGTTGGAGTTGTTGAAAGAAAGTATAAAGACCAAAGAGTTTGTGAAAATGTTGCAAACTTCGTCATGGTTTCAAACAATGTTGTTCCGATGAAGTTAGAAAGTTCTGACAGAAGATATGTAGTTGTCAGAACGTCAGATTCTCATATGCAAGATACAGAATATTTTGACGACTTAGCAGAAACTTTGACACCTAACTTTTACAACCACTTGTTCTCATATTTCATGACATTAGATATTTCAAAGTTCAATCCAAGACAAATTCCACATACCGAAGAAAGACAAACATTGTTAGAAGCAAACAAGAGTGTATATGAACTGTTCATAGATGAGACTAACTTTGAGTGTTTAGATGAAAGGTCATTGTACGATGAATATAAACAATATTGTCAAGAATATGGTTATATGGCAGCTTCTAAACGTACATTCTTGGCAAATGTCAAAAATCTTTTAGATGTTCAGAACGGCGTATATACAAAGAAAAATTTTTCTGAGTAAATTTAAAAAAAACATTTTTTTATCCGATAGAAAAGATGACGAAATATATTTCAGTCAACAAATATATGTCAGAAGTCAAAGAAGAACTAGACCCATTCACATATTTGAATGTTTACTTCTACCATTTTGAAAAGTCTTCATTCAGCAAAGTTTGGAACATCGAACCAGTTAAGTTTGCTATTGTGACTAAAAATGGTGCGAAATTTGAAGACTTAGACATAGAAGGTTTGTTAGCAGTCAAAGAAAATTTTGACAGAAGGTTCTCAAACCTTAAAGAAGGCAAAGCATACAAACTTGTTATACCTTATGAACCAAAGAAAGCAGACGACTATGAATATTATGAGTCTAAGATAGTTGAAGTTCAAGGTAAATTGGGTAAAAAGATTTTAGAGTCTAAGCCAGTGTTTGCTCCTAAAGAGGAAGAGAACATTGACATTGACCCAGAAATGTTCTAAAAATAAAATTTTATTTTTACATGTCATATCTCACCTTCTCTGGAACTGGTTCAGGTTCTTTCTTCTCTTCTTCTACTTTCTTTTCTTTCTTTTCTCTCTTCTTCTTCTTCTCTGGTGGAGTTATGTCAAATTTCTCAGAACCATATTTATGTAAAAGTTCTTTGTCCTTTAATAGCTCATCTATTCTGTTTTCTATTTCATCTTCAAGAACAGCGCATGTGCCTTCTTTGCATTCTAAGAACTTTTGTTGGACTTCATCTTTCCAATCGGCGTCATCTCTGTCAACAAGTCTGTCATTGACAAATTTTAAGACTGCTCTTTGTAATGTTTTATGGTTCTTGTCATATTCCCAGAAACAGAACTTTAGAACAAATTCACCTTTCTTGTTTACACTATGTAAGATTTTATGGTCGACAGATGTTTTGCTGTCGAAAAGTTTGTCTCGAATATAGATAGCGAAATCGCTAGACATTTTCTAAAAGATAAAAATTTTAATTTTTCTAAAAATATGTTAGAAAAAAAGTTTGCTGACATTGACAAGAAATTTGAGAATGTTTTAAACAAGAACAAGAGGAAGTTAGAAAATGCTCAGATAAAGCCTATACATGACAAGTTCTTATTTGCTCAGAATGGTATAACAGGTCTAATCGCACCACCTGGGTCGGGCAAGACTTTCACTTATCTTAAAATGGCTGCACAACAACAAGAACTAGATGAGAAGAACCCATTCTATGAGTTAGTTGTCATTTGTAGTACTTCTGGTCAATTTGACCAAACCGTCAATTCGTTCAAAGATATTATAAAGAAGTCTAAGTTAGTATGTATAAAAGACTCTGAGTTGTTAGATTGGATAAAGAAGTACCAAAGAAGAGTTTTGAAGTACAATGCTATAAATGAGTATGTCAATTCTAAGTTTAAAGACCCAAATGAGGAAATGCAGAGAATATTAGAGAAGAAACACTTCAGAAACAAACAGAAAGAGATAGAATACATTTCGAAGAAATTGCAATCTTACGATTGGAAGACATACCCTCACAGATGTCTTCTTATCTTAGATGACTTTGCTTCTCATCCTTTGTTAAAGAATAGAGAACAAGACATGTGTCGAATTCTTAAGAAGCTCAGACACTTTAACATTTCAGTTGTCATTTGTGTACAGACAGCCAAGAGTTTAAGTAAGGATGTTAAAAGAATACTTACTGATATCATACTTTTCCCTGGATTGTCCGAAGACGATTTCATGGAACTTATGAAAGAGTCCATGGCAGGTAAGTTTGACAGACATGAACTATGGGAGAAGTACAAAGTCATACAAGACCCTCATACTTCTTTCAGAATTCACATCTACGCGAACAAAGTTCAAATTGTAAAAAGTCAATAAAAATAAAGAGTTTTGTGCTGAATTCAATAAAAATATATTTTTAGGGTAGATGGGTATATCTAACCCGATTTCTAACCTCATTTCTACCCCATATGTCCTTACTGAAAAAGTACGTGTTCCATATGTCATTTTACTCAGAATTTTACTCAGAATTCAATAAAAATATATTTTAGGGTAGAAGGGTATATCTACCCCGTTTTCTACCCTCATTTCTACCCCAGTTATTTTATAAGCGTTTTACATGGTAAACATTGTGAATTCGTGAAATTCTAAACAATTTCGTAGCTTCTATTTCTTCTGTCAGTACATCGAATGTTTTAACGATACCGAAAGTCTCTTTATATTTCTTCTTGACGTCAGATAGAAGGAAATCGTCAGCAGTTGGATAGTTTTTGTTCAGAAATTCTAACATGTCCATTTTATTTTCTGCTGGCTTTTCTGCTTCTTTCTTTAAGTCAGCATAGTCGTTTCTCATTCTTTCTATCTCTTTGACGGAGTAGTTATATTTCCTCATTGCTGCTTTACATTTTGAACATTGTGGGTTCATTTTAGCATTGTACATTGAAATCTTACCTGCTAGTATGACTAAGGCGTCAATTGCTCTCTTTAACTCAAAAGTTGCGGGTTTTATCTGTTCATTCCATACTTTACCTCTTTTATCTTTATCTCTTATCTGCCATACACATTTTGCAACTAACGAAACAAAGTTGTCGTAGGTCTTAAACTCTTCAGATTTATATATGTCAGAGATGTTCTTATATACCATGTCGCAATCTTTGTCCATGACTTTGTGGTTGCAATGAAATCCAAGAAACTCATAGTTAACCTTACGTATGAACTTCTTTATTTCTACTGAGTCAGTTGCTTTGACTTCTATTTCATCGAATTCTGGAATAGTAAGCTTTTGTTGTTGGATTTCAGGCAATTTGGGTAAATGGTCAATAATATCCTGCATTTCATAAAGATACTGTTCATTTGTTTCATCTTTCGCACTACAGTCTAAATTACTTGTTAAAAGTTCTTGCTTTATCTTCTGGATTTCTGTCTCAAAAGTATATGAAGAAGGAATGAAGCTTTTCATCTCTACTAACATTGAAGTTGGGTTCATGACTAAAGAGTTTGGTGCTGTTGTTGCTAACATGTTCTTACAATAAAAATAAAAAAATATTTTTTTAAAAAAACCAACTTTATTTTTTATTTCGGGAAAACTCATGACAAATTCAAGAGGGTAGAAAAGAGGTTAGAAAAGAGGTTATATCTAACCTTCTACCCTAAATTATATTTTTGCTGAATTCATGAGTTTTGGTTGAAAGAATACGGTGGAGCCAAAAGTGGCTCGACCTCAAAACAAGCATTTTCTGTATAAAATTCATGAAAATTCAAGAGGGTAGAAAAGAGGTTAGAAAAGAGGTTAGATATACCCATCTACCCTAAATTATATTTTTGCTGAATTCAGCAACAAAATTCAAATTGTAAACGGTTTAATAGAAAAAGTGTTATTTTTTCATGTCCGAAGACTCGAAGGTGCAACACTTCCAAAATACCGACGAACTCAGAAGAGCAGCATGGCAGTATGTTCTTGACAACTTCTTTGAGTTCTCCAGGAACACCTTGGAAAATGCTGAAGAACTCCGACACAGAGAATTTGGAGAAATTGCACTCCAATACTACCTTGACAAACAAAGGGTAAACAAAGGGTAAACAAAGGGTAAAATAAGACTAAAAACTTAACGTTTAAAAAGTGACATTTTTATGAGCTCCGAGTCACCGAGAAAACTTGGTCAGATGTTAGCAGCTTACTTCCCTGAGGAGGATGGAAGCGTTACATACGTAAGGTTCAAAAACAACGAACCTGGAATTGCGTACCAAATTCGCAATTACATGACCATGGAAGAGTACGAAAGGTTCCTACAAGAGAAACCAGCTCTAAACAACTCAGAAAAGAAAGAGTAAAAAGTTTAACTCGTAATTGTTTATTTTTTTTACTTGTATGGGCAAGCTGCAAGAATGAAGTCGACTATCTCAGCCTTTGTCTTGACCAGTTGGACTGCTCTTGCGAGTACGTCTGTTTTGCGGTCTCCAGCTGGTGTCTGACCTTCGTAATTGCGCATGTTCTTGAGAGCTCCAACTGTAAATGGTTGTAGGATGAAGAGTCTCTCAGACTGCTTGAGGTAGTCTTCACGGTCACGAACCGAATCTGTGGTACGAGTCGAATCGGTCGATTTGAGGGAAGAGACTGAAAGCCTGTCTTCTTCCATTGGGGTAGTAGCATACTCTTTGCGTAAGCGGTTCAGACCTTCCTCGAACTCTTGGTCTCTCTTGGATTGAGATTGGAATTGTGGGGCAGGGTTTTGCATAAACATCCAAGGGTTGGGGAAGTAAGGCATAGGCTGAGGAGGAGGGTAGTTCGGGAAGCCTTGTGGTAGGTAGTAACCTTGAGGTGGAAATTGGTAGTAATTTGGTGGAGGGACTTGCTGGAACTGAGGTTGCTGAGGTGCAGGGGCTGGTGCTTTAGGTTCCTCTGGTTTGGGAATGGGCTCGGTTGGTGGTACGTCGGACATCTGTTTGTGGCTTAACCGTCGGAAGGAAAAACCTTTCCTGTCGGAAGGAAAAACCTTTCCTGTCGGAAGGAAAAACCTTTCCTGTCGGAAGGAAAAACCTTTCCTGTCGGAAGGAAAAACTTTTTCTGAAGTTCGACCAAAAGTTCTCAATTTTCGAAAATTTGAATGGTTTACGGACGGACAACTGGAAGAGTCCTTCCTGTCGTCGGGAAAATTTTTTCCAGTTGTCGGGAAAATATTTTCCTGTCGGATGGAAGGACTCGGAATACCAGAAGGATTTGACGAGGCAATTTACCTTATAGAGTTAAATGAAGTTGTTAAGCAGTACTTGCGCAGGGTAATGAAGCCCAAGGTCAAGTTCACCACTATTTCTGGAAGGTCTACACTTCAGCTCGAGACTTCGACTGGAATTCCAATTCAAATACCAGACGGGACAGCCTACGATGGCATAAAGGACGCCAAAAGAGAAGCTCTTGTTAAGTTCCTAAACAAACGTCCTTGGATAAAAATACCAAACAAGGAGAACCCCCTACCCCATATGAAATTGGCAATTCAGTCTCTCCTTCACTTCTCGGGTCAGCCGTTCTACATAACCTGTGAAGGCGACATCCAACCAGTTCAGTCAACCTTAACGTTTTGAGTAAAAACATTTTTTTTCATTTTTTGAATGAAGCAAGTTAAATTCGTCCCACACCAATCTCAATGGACCGATGAAGAGTTTCAAGCTATGGTTGAAGGTGTTGAGAACGACATAGACGACGAACTTGAAGGAGCTCAAACCACAATTGCAACCAAAATTGCAGGAGTCAAGGAACAGATAGCTCCACTTAAAGCTACCAAAGCTACTCTTGACCTCATGGATAGTTACCGTTTAGATGTCAAGAGTGGAATAAGACAATTAAAATTAAAACTTCTAAACTACGAAGCTATACTCCAAAAGTTAGCAGAAATGAGAAGACTTTACCAGAGCTACTTACATGTAAGGGACTTACCTTCAAGCAGTCCGACCAAAGATGAATTTTCTGACATTGTCCCAATTTTGTCCGAAAGTCAGCTCAGATGTTTTGAACTGCTCCCAACATATCCAGAATATGAACGTTTGCCTGAACTCTTCCGCAATCTCAAAAAACGTTTTTTGGTTCTCATGTTCCAAACTTTTATCGGAAGAGACAACAAACGTTCAGAAGAAGAACAAGATATTATTTTAAACTTGTTGTATGACTTAACCGTCATAACAAGCTTTTTGAAGTAAAACCGTCATTCTCAAACCACTTCATTTTTTCGATGTCCGAACAAGCACCGAAGCCAAACTCAATGGAAGATGTCCTTTCAATGTTGCCAGACAAGCGCCCAGTTCAAATTCAAATTTTGAATTTGAAAGCTCATCTGACAAACACCGTTAAGACTCTCCAAAGTAGTCTTATGGAAGAGATGAAGGGACTTAAAGGTGAGTTCCTCATGAACCAAGCTTCCAATGAGAAATGCCTGAATGATTTGACGGAAACCTTGCGCATTTACGCGAGAGAGAACCGAGACCTTGCCAGACTCATCTACCGTTTCTTCGAAGAGATAGACGCCATCTGGAAGGTACTCGGAAAGGACAGAACCTCCAACACCGTAATTCGTGAGTACCAAATTGAAGAAGGAATTTCGAGGAAGAAGAGGAAGAAAGAAGACACGAAGAAGAAGGGAAGAAGAGGAAGAAGAGAAACACGAAGAAGAGGAAGTTTGGGCAACCCTTGTTGCCGATGACGCTTACGAAATTTCCCAACCCTACCCATACCAAATCCGCAACAAGGAGACAGGCAAGGTTCTTACCCCAGTCCTCAACAACTTGGGACACTTGACCTTACCCTTCGAAATCGGGTACAATTTCCATGGGAAGGCTTGTCGGTATGCAATGGGTTCCAAATCCAAACAAGAAGACGAAGGTCAGACACATTGACGGTGACAAGCTCAACAACCGTAAGGAGAACC